GAAGAAAAAGCACAGAAACCAACCACCCCCTGAGTATTTTTAGAAGAGGCCTATACATCGCACTATCTCCCAGGAATATTGACATCAAGCAACCAAACCTAGCGTCAAAGCCTGGAGGAGAAAACCTCTGGGCCAGGGTAACAAAAATACACAAAGCCCCTCTCCGTTAGCGTAGTAGGCCTGATGACGGACAAAGTTGTTCGTCAACAAGCCTACTACGCAGAGTCGAGGCATGTGTAAGTTTGAACCCTGGGACAGAAGTTCCTCCTCCAGGCTAAGCCCAGGGACAAGAAGCGGAAGGATAGAACATACAGAAAGAGAGGAATTGTGTTTTGCCATGCAGTGATAGAAACTCTCAATCAAACTCTGTTATCACTGTTTACGTACTTGTAACAATTCAAACCTCCTGCTCCAAAATCCAGGCCTAGTCTCAAGCTCATCAAATAAAGTCTGTCCGCGTAAAACATCACTGTCAAACTCTACTAGATTAGCTTGAGACGAGCCCTAAATTTTGCAACAGGAGGTTGGTACTGTTACAACTATGTAAGCAGTAATAACAAAGCTTGATATTCAACTGCACGACAAAGAAATTGGTCGAACAAAACTAAACCCATTGTTTCCACAGAGATTATTTACAATAAAAGTTATTTCCCCAGATTTGTTATAAGCCATTACGTACACTTGAACTACCTGTCTATCTGAGTTTGCCAGCTACAGTTACCTTCTAGATAAAAGATCTACCTAAACTAGTTGTTACGATTCCATTGAAAATTGAAAATCAAAATGTCGAGAACAGGTAAACATCTCCCTGTCTGCCTACAGTTGTAACTTTTTGAAAAATCTATCTATTATATAAAACAAGACCTTACGATTGCCTTTAAATTGTCTCCGTAAATCTCACACTACAACTGTCTGTCTACAATACCTTATAGTAATACATTTGTACTACATAGTACCTGAACTATCTAAAAGTATGACTTTGCTACATTTCAAGCAACTTCAGTGTACATAATCTTACAGTGGAAAGTATTTGTTTGGCCAATTTCTTGTACACAATTCCTCTCTTTCAAAAATAACACACAGCTTACCTGTAGTACATTTCACTCTACAGAAAGAAAGCACAACACTGCCTTTTCCATTTTCTGTAAAGCAGTGGGATATATTTTCAGAAATCAACATGTAACCAAAAGTATTTTCCCTGAAATCCATTTCATCACTGACAGTTGATTGGATTTTAATTCACTTTTCATTATTCATTACACTTAAAAAAGGATTTTTTAAACACCTCTATGTGTATTATTATTAGACGTAAATAATGTTGATACACATGTAGATGTGTAATATGCAATCTTGATTGTTTATTTGTGTTACACCTGTCCTCCAGGTACATTCCACTGTTAACTTCCTAGGTGAAACAGTTTGAATGTTTGTTATCAAATATCAAAGAATGATATCGTTATCAAATATCAGTAGTTTTCAAACAGTACCTATTCTACATATTGTTAATCCAGCTCTGTTCATTTTGCACTACCATGTATTCTATTCATGCTTGACGAAGGTTGGACTTGCAGTTTTATATCTGTCAGGAGTCATTTTCAGTCATTACAACTGTTCTGGAATTCTATTACAATCCCAGTCAAATGTTTTTGGCTTTCATGTACTACATAATAATTACTCAATTTATCCCTCAAAAAAACTTGATATTTGCTTCACTACATTTGATTTCATTTGAGATCAGGCTAATGAATCATAATGAAGAGGATATCAGGGAAATACTTTTATTGCAAATGATTTTGAAAATATTCCCCATTGCCATACAGAATGAAACAACAGGCAATTTTGCAAGTGCTCTCTTCGATAGGAAAATGTACAGTGTTCCCCACAATACAATCTGCAATAAAGTATTAGTCACAACCTTAAACTAAATATTAGTATGGAAAATGTGAACTCTTTCATAGAAATGACAACAAATAGCAGGGAGGACCACTTTTAATAATTGCGGTTGGAATGAACTTACTTAAGAATTCAGTGGATCGAAAACATGCCCTTTCCCAACATTTTTCATTGTCATTTTTAGGGATCTGCATGCATGGTAATTCCTGATCAAACTTCGCGCTAAATTCCCGAGATGCAGCAACCTTTTATTACGCTCCATTCATGTAGCACGGATGTTTACGCCTAATGCACGTATTATGCTTAACTTCTAACGACAACTCAGAGAATCCTGGCTTCCAATTGCAAAAATCGAAACGGGTAGTCGCGCAAAACAAAAACAGCTGATTATGCCTATGCAGCAAACAGATCCCCATTTTTGAAAGAATTCAAGAAGTGAAAACCAACTCACTGTCAAAGTCCGACGTTCTCTTGTCTTGATGAAGGCTGGAAGGTCTTACAGCACAAAAAGGAATACTGGTAGGGATGGATCCTTCAGGTACACAGGATAGCTCAGGTCCCACAGCACACACAGGAACACAGAGACTGGTCCTCACAAAGCAGGTACAGTCCCCAAGTTACAACCTTAAACCTATGAAGGAAAAGAAAAACTCTGTCAGAAAAATCAAATGCCAATAATATACATGTACACCAAAAATACACGCATATCATTAGATACAGTACATCATAATATTCAAAACATTTAAGACTTTCTAAAACCTTCTTTGTGTTGGAGGCAAAAAAAATACATGACCAGGTTAGTAGTGAGGCAGCATGGAAATACAATGTAAGAGACCATTCCAAATTACAGTAACATGCAGTCGAAAGTGAACATAAAATATTATGACAAAACAATCTACTTTATGTTGGGGCAAGAAAACATTATTACAACAAGGAGATAAAAGAAGATCATTCTCCACATAATTCAGTCAAAAGTTAATGCATAAAATATCATGATGACACAACAATCACATAAAAATATGTCATGTCACATAAGAATACTGCATCAAAACAATTTACATATGACATCAGCATCTCATGTTCAACATAACATTCATTAAAAATTTAATAGGCAAGGAACTGAATGCTGTGTCTGAAGCACCGATGAAATAACCTCAGTTTTGAACATCTACCAACAATACATGGAAATGTATGCATTTCAAATATTATGCATTAAAAATTCAAACACAGCTCATACTGATAGAACATTTTTGTATACAACAGTTCTGGAATAAAAAGTCACAGCAAATAGCAAACAGCATTTTGAAGGTATAACGTTACATCAAGAAGTCAACTATTACTATCAAGTGTTCTCACAGTGAAAGACAAACATAAAATGTCAACATTATGTCTGTAATGATAATTGTAAGATAAGTGTAAAATCCATCTTAAGATGATCAGCAGTGTCAATATGCAATAGCACAATATTGTCAGCACAAATTGCATAAAACATTTGCTAAGGGAATTCACTGTTCTTAACATAACTAGTGTGAATGTAACAGTTCTTGCTACACGGACAACACAAAAACATTTGGACAAACACATGTAATCCATAATATCATAACAACACATCGTGTATAATTTTAATCAAATTGCACAAAAAATTCAACAGAATTTAACGTTACACTCTATGTAAATCATTATTGATACTCAGACAAAAATTGAGCTCTCACTATAATGAGCAACATCAAGTTGACATATCAATTTTTATGATGACATTCTTTTATATAACGTTAACTGGAAACATGGTCATGAAAACATCAACTCAGAGCATGTGTACATAATTCAAGACACAGCTGCAATCAAAACGTATACGGTAAAAATATCTTAAACTCTGTTTTACTTTCTTAATGTTTAGTTAAGCTGCATTTTAGCCTTACACTTTTGTTTACCTTGAAGACCAAGATAGTGTCTCACCATCTCCTATAACAGTGCAGCACCTGGAACAGAGTTTCAGCTACAGCGTTGTACAGCAAAACATAGAATATACGCACTCCAGACTTCTTTCCAAATAGCAGCACACATTTCCCAGCTCTACCAAATGTTTTTCACCTCCATAATGATATGGTGTTTTTGTGCGTAAACAACTCTGTTAATACCGCCCCCCTCCCCAGCCAAACTTCGGATTTTCAACCCTCTTCGGTGTTATCCTCACCAAACTCATGTTACCGGATCCATGACGCCTCTGGCCCCGGAATACACATTTTTACATAAAAACGAATAGAATTTGTTTTAGAAAATGACAGAAAATCGACAACCGACCGTGTAACACATTCAAGTTTTGGGACCTTTTAGTCCGCGGGTCAGAAACTTGGATCACACAGTAGCGCCCCCAGCGGATGAATGGCTAAATGCAACATAAACCCAGCGGAACATATGCCGCAAGTTATTTTCGAAATTCTGTCTATCTGCTTCATCCAATTTCAAGGAGGTTTATCTACACCAGTCCGGGAGTATCTCATACAATGTTACGTACAACTTACAGGCCAAAGCGGACGTGTCGCGTCTTCCTATGCAGAATTTTCCCACCAGAGTTCTTCCTCAAGTTCCTTTCCATGCACGCACTCGCCATCTTTGAACAGCGTGTTCAACGCACAGGTGCCACCTGTTAATCCTGACCAAAATTTGAATTTTCAAATTTGGTAATTAAATTACTACATTAACAACCGGCCAATAGAAAAGAACCGTTCATGCAAGCCAGATAAACTGGAGATTGTCTCATTGTGGTTTTATCTTTAAATTTTAACACGTTATGAGAGGGCCTTATACTTTTCCTTTTTTTTTTACCAACTTTAACGTTTTTTTTAATATCTTAATTTTTCGCATCGATTTTAGGGTGACCATCAGTAACAATGGTCTAACTTCGTCATCACTTAGATTTAAGAAACTAACGTTAACGCATGTTATTCATTTCCTCATTTTACTCCTCTTTTATTCGCATGTCAAAGGATACCATCGAAAAACACACACTCACAGTGAAAAGCGGCTTTACTCGTCCAACGGCGAAACATGATATTTGTTGGGTAACCAGGCAAATACAACTCGGAACTTTGACCTTTCAACTCTGAGAAAAATGGCGGCTAGCTTGAAGAAGAAGAAGAACGTTTTGATCGGAGTTACAGGCAGCGTAGCGGCTATAAAAGTTCCTCTTATCGTGCAAGAGTTACAGAAGTCGGAAGGGATGAATGTTGAGGTACAGATTGTCACGACACTGCTTCTTTCCATTGAGAGCGGTATCGTTATTTGACTTGTTAAAGCTTTAACTCGCCGTGAGTGGGAGGGGGGCAAACTTCTGATTATTTTTATTTTAGTTAAGGGATCGTTACATAAATTTTAACGGAGTTTCTCTTCAAATACTTGGTTTTATACCTTACTGAAAAAATCTTTCTTTCAGAAATACCTAATCACTTTCTTAAATCGTAAAATAACACAAATTGATAGTAACGTAACGTTAAGCTACGCTACGTTAAGCCATACTAACGTTACCTCCATGGTTAAGCAAATAACGTTATATGCATATTTCATGATGGGTTGATAACATGGTTAAAATGGGTGTTTTTTATTGTGGGACATTGCTTTGTAATGTTTGCACTACTACAGTAATTATTTATAACCGAAGTGCAAGTTATCAATGAGGAGGTCAGAACTTAAACCGAATTTCTCCCCCAGGTTCGGGTTGTGACAACAGAACGTGGTGCTCACTTCTTCAAGCCTGAGGAGTTACAAGTTCAAGTGTACCGAGATCAGGATGAGTGGCAGTGGCAAAAGGTTAGGTAATTTTATAATTGAAAGTCTTCTTTACATTACTAGTTTAGTATCGCTTCTGAGAACAGTATTCAATATTGAGCAACCTGGAAATAATTTGGTGCTTTCTTTAAATTAATTCAGACTGCATCAGTGGTTTATTTGATCGAGTGTCTCACAGTGGTGCAAATGTTATTGGAAGATTGCATTGTGTTAAAAAAATATCATAATAATGTTTACATACAAAGTACAAAATAAAGTTTTAGCAGTAAAAATAGAAGTTGTACAGCATAACATAAAATGTATAAATTTCAACTCATCAAAATTACATTTTAGAATATGTTAGCTGATGTTGTTAAAACCTACTAATGCATATACATTGTATGGTATATCATATTGCAAATCTAGAGGGAAGACCCAGTCCTCCATATTGAGCTGCGACGTTGGGCCGATGTCTTCGTCATCGCTCCGCTAGACGCCAACACGCTGGCCAAGATGGCGGCCGGGCTGTGCGACAACCTCCTGACGTGTGTCGTCCGCTGTTGGGACCTGACCAAACCCCTGCTGTTCTGTCCTGCCATGAACACTCACATGTGGAACCACCCTCTCACACAGAGACACATAGATGTGTTGAAGGGGTTTGGGTACATAGAAGTGCCTTGTGTGGAGAAGACACTTGTGTGTGGAGACTCTGGGTTAGGGGCCATGGCTGAAGTCAGTACCATAGTGGCAGCAGTACACAAGTCTCTACGAGATGTAGACACATTGCTGTAGTGGTGTTATCAAGATACTGTTTATTACAATTACATATACACTCTTAACCACAAAAGTGGGAGGATAAACAAAAAAGCTAGGATGCTAAGCTATATCTACATGTAGCTATAAAATGACTATAATGAAGATTAAAATGAATGTTACAACTATTCTCATTGTCATGCCTTGCAAAGAGTTGCATTGAGCAAACTGGTCAAAAAAAGAGATACATGTAAAGAAATATTTTGGTCAATTAGCTGAAGTCAAAAGAGAAATAAAGTCATTATATTTTGGTAAATCTCCAGATTTTTGTGAATGGAAAAATACAATAATATTTCAGAAAAATATTGCTAGCAAGCTTTGTACAAACTTAATCTACAATGTACATGTAGTTAAGCAGCAATAACACAGTATGGGTATCAGTGTAGTTTTACAGACTCTGTTTACCCATAGCATAGCATCAGTGGAATGTAAACATATAAAAAATTGTCTGCATTCAGAATGTTTTGGAATGTTTGTTTTCCTTGACAGTGTACATTGTCTATGATATAACAATGTGCAAAATTCTAAAACAAAAAAAATACATATCTAAAACAACCTATGTGCTTTTATGATTGCTATACACATGTATTTACATATAGAATAACAAAACGCTAAGGCTACAACTTAGCAAAAGTGAAAAAAGTTACCCTGTCTCCCAAAAATACCACTACAAATTCATGTCAAGTAAAACAGATATAGGTTTTAGCTTCTAAAGCTTTAAACAGCATCCTTAGAAAGATGTGGTTTGGGTTGTGTCATTATCAGTGGACACGCCCTCTCCTTGCTGTTCTGTGATTGGTGGTTGAAGGAACGTTGGACAGAAGGGGACGAAGCGCGTACAGTTGGAGCGGCGGATGAGGCCCATCCCGAACGGTAGATCGTACACCTTCAGTGCTTTCCGCTGTTCCAACGTCATTTCTGTGTCGCCGCTGGCTTCCCTGTTCCAGTGAAGCAAACCTCGCTCCTCTGCAGTTCCTATTCATGTGTGAATGATATCAAACAACATTTATGCCTTCTTCTGGACCCCTATATAGATATCACTCCAGTCTAAAAAAAAAGAAGAAAAAAAGATAATCCCTACCTAGCGACCCTACTTTTTCAGGACTGAAACAAGAAACACAACATTTTCTTTCCTAGGCCTGAACTTAAATGAAACTGCCGTACCTGGGATAGTGTTGTCCAGTATAAAAGCGAAGAAACCTCCAACAAACATGCTGGTGGTTAACAGAACTGTGATGATCTGGTCCAGTTCACGTACATCTGAGGAGGGAGAAACAAGTTGTCTTACACTTCAATCATCCTCAGTGCTGATACAACATTACATCCACCTTCAGCTGCTGGCTTACCAGTGGAGCTACCAGTACAAAAGTCAGCTGTAAATGCCATCTGTTTTTGTATCCGTTTTTTGGGGAAGTGAGTGCAAGGAGCCCCATTACAATGCAGATTGCTATATAAATGTAGCATGCCTCAACAAACAGAAACAAACAAAAAAAAAGACCATACAGTCTCGATGCCTTCTATCTGGAAGATGGTATATGCAGGTATCACTGAACTTAGTAAGACTTACTTGTTTTGATTTTGTCAGGATTGTTGTTGAGCCAATAGGGCACAGCCAGACCCATGAGAACAGAGAAACCAAACACGAAGAGGTTCCGGGAGGAGTTGAGGTCAACGAACTGTAGGTTGGAGACCCCGATGGCGGTGATCATTCCGAACATCACGCAGAACATCCCGCCCACAATGGGGTCCGGGATCGTGGTGAACAGGGCGCCGAATTTTCCAAGCATGCCCAGGAGAATGGCGAGGACGGCCCCTGCCTGGACCACTCTTCTACTGGCCACCTGTAGAATACATACATAACAGAATTTAAAGACCCCATGACACCCAAAAAGTCTATAAAAACATGGAAATATCGGAAGTATACAATCATGCTGTATGGTATATGGTCTCATGAAGTTGGTTTTAATCATGATGACTGAGAATTGTGTTTGTACCGCCTTCTAAAAGTGCATTTTTGGAGAACCTGATACTTTAAACTGATGTTTTTAATTCAAACATTTTAACAGTTACCTTAGTGATGCCGATGGCCCCAATGTTCTCACTGTACGATGTTGTACCGTTTCCTGAGCCCCAGGCTCCTGCCAGGATACACCCGATCCCTTCCATACCTATTCCCCTGTTGATGGCATGGGTCGGGGGAGGGGGGGCACCTGGGGGAGGGAAGACAACCCGTAAGATCTGGCTATTGGCTCTTAATCCCAGAGGTATGGCCAAAAGGACTGGTTCTATTTTCTTACAGGTGGTAACAGTGAATGAATACCATGAATACAAAAGTATTGCGAATACATGTATAAAACGATTTAGAGTAATACTGAATTCCACACATTTTTTTACATAATGCGTCATGGAATTTTGAAAAACAAAAAGAAGGCAGTTTTACCAGACAGCCTTGCGCAGGCGTAGTAGTCTCCGATAGACTCAATCATGGAGGACAGAACTCCTGACAACATGCCGAACACCCCCGCAACACTCACAGTGGGCATGCCCCATTGACCTGCAAACAAACAAAACAATCAAACAAAATTAATGAAGATTAAATATGGTGCACTCCAGTTCTTCTCAAGTTGAAATGACTAAAAGCGTAAATAAACATACACCAAAGCCTAAGGCCCACTTTACACACAAATTTTTGTGACAGTGGGAACGCCGTGGGAACACCGACAAGAGAATTCCCGACAGCGTAGTCCTGCTGTCGTTAAATTTTTTGCCGATAGCTCCAAAGTTGTTGGCAGAAAATTTCACGACTGTGAAGAAACAATTCAGACTCTACCATGGAAGTTGCTTCTACTGACCTGAATAAGGGAACCTGAACCAGGGTGCCTGCTGTAGCACACCTGCTGACCTGGGTAAGGGAACCTGAACCAGGGTGCCTGCTGTAGCACACCTATTGACCTGGGTAAGGGAACCTGAACCAGGGTGCCTGCTGTAGCACACCTACTGACCTGGGTAAGGGAACCTGAACCAGGGTGCCTGCTGTAGCACACCTACTGACCTGGATAAGGGAACCTGAACCAGGGTGCCTGCTGTAGCACACCTACTGACCTGGATAAGGGAACCTGAACCAGGGTGCCTGCTGTAGCACACCTACTGACCTGGATAAGGGAACCTGAACCAGGGTGCCTGCTGTAGCACACCTACTGACCTGGATAAGGGAACCTGAACCAGGGTGCCTGCTGTAGCACACCTACTGACCTGGATAAGGGAACCTGAACCAGGGTGCCTGCTGTAGCACACCTACTGACCTGGATAAGGGAACCTGAACCAGGGTGCCTGCTGTAGCACACCTACTGACCTGGATAAGGGAACCTGAACCAGGGTGCCTGCTGTAGCACCCCTATCCTCTCATCTGTCCTGGCGGTGAAGTATGGTACATTTGCCACAGTCAGGATGGCGCAGAAGATCCAGGCAATGATCATGGACATGATGACCTTGAAAAATTTAAACAGCGAGACATGAACATTTTGCAACTTTATGCATCTTCAAGAAAATGTACTACCCGGTACATGTAAGGGCATGGTCACATACATGTAGCAATCGCAAACAGAGGGTATTCTTGGGTTCAAAGTGCATGTGCAATACAAAATCCATAATTATGTCTTATCTTAACTTAGGTGAATCATCTAGCTTGCTCAGTTACAGTACTAATAGTAAGTATAATGCATGTATATGCTACACATCAATTTACCTAAGGAGTACATTAAAGCTTAGTCAAACAAAAGAGCTACAAACGTCACAGTCCCCAATTTTGCTCCCTGATAGAAAGTACTTACCGGAAAGAGTTTGAAGAGGGCGAAGGAGGCAGCATTGCGATGGCAGCCTAAGTCTCTACTGTACCCACAACAGGGCAGGTTCACGTTCCTCAAGTACTGGGAGAACAGGGTGATCAGGGCTATAGTTCTGTAAGAAAAATTAAGTGGATGATCATTACAGCACTTTCAATGCTCAAACTGTATTGTACGTAACAATGGTCATGATGTAAGTCATCTGCAATAAACCATTCATCCATCCATCATTCATTTCTTCAGTCAATCAGTCATTCACTGTACTGGTGGCAAGGGACAAGTACTCAGAAATATGGTATTTTCTTCCATTACATTCGGAGTATGTTATCAATGGAAACCTACACCAGTTGTTAATACTAGTAGCCCACTGCCTCATAGAGCAGAAAATACTAGTATATAGTGCACTGACACTAACAGACCCGCAATATAATTATTTGAACATAGAAGTCTGATCAGACACAGAGTGATAGTAGTTAAAACTGACCCGGCAAGAAAATCACTCAAGGCATGATCAACATTAACTTGATTTTTAAGGACCACCAAAATGTGGTCAATAATGACATGCTGCCCAGGTGGTCCTTATGTAGATGTGGTCACTTGTACAGCTTTGACTGTGTAAGTAAACGTCAATGGTAACTTGTAACAGTCCACTCACAGAGCTGCGATGCCCCAGTGTCTGCCTGCGAAGTCTGCTGCAGCTCCGAACAGAGCCAGGCCCACCAGAGTGATGGTGGGGGCAATGACCAGCGGGCCGATGAACCTCATCAGCAATCCCACAATGCCGCTGAAGCCCAGAAACACCTGAAAGATGGCTGACACCATGATGGCACCTTGGATCTGGTGAAAAGGAAGAAAATGACTCAGGTTTTCATAGATTATTCAAACAGAAAGACTAACTCCAAATACTAATTTTAGACCATAGAGTTTGTTAGATGATTATTCATTCTGGCACACTCTTAAGCTTGCTGAAAAACCTATACATGCATATAATACAATGTAGTTATGTACATGTATAATGAGTATGGTAATAATGCTTATACAGTCATGTCCTATTATAGAATATTCACAATTACATCTTGTACGTGGTCAGTCTTACCTCTCTGACTCGGCTCATCCACACTTCATCATTGTTAACTGGCTCTCCTGTAAAATTCTGGGTCCCGTTTAGTCCAGATGTCGTGTCTATATAATAGGTGATTCAAATAAACACTATAAGCCTTGTGCCTAGCAGTCCTAACTAATGAAATGTCATAGAAAAAAAGAAGGAAGTCAAAATACATGGCTTTTAATTACTATACATGACAAATACTTTTTAAAATTAAGAGTCACTGTGATGTACATGTCAGATTAACAAATCTTAAGATAGCTTACTGCCAGGTGCAGGACACTGCCACTGTGGTAGAGCCAGGATCGCAAAAGTCGGAGCCAGGAAGGAAAACGTGGCACCCTGGACAATCGGTAATCTAGGCAACATCGTAAACATGTGCTGGTGTAAGTAAGAAGCAACATACTAAGTGTAAACATAGTACTCATCATTTACTTAGTACATGTCATGCATGTCATTTGCAGTGTTGAATTAAAACCTATGAGCATGATCATACTTTGACCTCACCTGACACCAAAAATGGTCTGTAAAAGTGTGCAGATTCCTGACACAAAGAAGATTGTGCTGATAAGTTTACTCTTGGCCAGGTTGTCATCACCGATACACAGGGCAGGAGACAGAATAAGTGGGACCGCAATGGTGGAGCCAAACATGGTCAGGTAATGCTGAAATAAAGAAATGCGAAATATGTTTTAAACAAAATAAATGCTGAGTAACTTTATTGAGTAAAGCATAATAATTACTAACAGAATGATGCACGCAAGTACAATTTCCTCACTTGCCCATAGACGGAAATAATATTATTCTGTCTTTTGCTCCTTACTGTTGTGATATGTTGACAATAAAATCCCACTTCTGACACCATTTTGTGTTTTGTAACTGTGCATGTGTGAGATAACATATTCTTTGTCTAACCTGAAAGCCCAGCAATATACACAGGTACCAGGGAGGCACATCTTCAATGCTGTAGGCAATGTCCAGCGGTCTGTTATCTGGAGTTGGCTCCCCTTGATTTTCTACATCCTGTAGAATACAAGATTAGGAAGATGATACATTGTACTGTGATAACTTAATCACAAAATTAATGGAAAATGGCCTTCCTTCGGAAACCCAGTTCCTTTACTACTAGTTTGTGCAGACATACCTGAGAGAGGGCCTGCATGCCCTTTTTTGTCTCCATAATCCGTAGGCAGTCAACGTAAAAAATCAACGTAATTCGTAATCTGTACATTAGCCACAACACATACATGTAATTGGTCATTTTCATTCTATGTAAAGCATATAACGGTAATTATGCAACGTAAAACATAATCCATAAGGTGCTCCATGATTTAATGTAATTTGTAATCAGCTCTGAGAATTTAACGTAATTCGTAATCGGCAGTGAAAATTTTGCATACTTCGTACTTCACTACCCCCTCCCCCATGCAGGCCCTCCTGAGAAGCTAAGTAGCTTAGGTACTGTAAGTTTTCTGCAAGAGTGTACAGGATCCGGAACAGGTTACAAGCTAGAACAGACGTTTCAGTATCTTTCAAACTCCAGAGCCGTTGCCAAAAACTATGACAACACTGGATATTTGTTTCTCAGTGTTTGGCCAAAATTTGTTTGTTTACTTCTCAACAGTGTCTACTGCGCTATTCTGTACTCAACTATAGAGTAGAGTTGTATACTCCAAGTCAAATTGCTAGACGAGGTCAAATTGATAAAAACCTGGTCTTACTACAGGCATAATTTTGTTGGAAACGTGGCAAACCATTTTAGGGCAACTAAGTGTAAACAAATTCTGTTGAATTAACGTTACATTCAAGAGTTCCAAGTCCAGCACTTCATCTCTCGCCGTTTCGCAATCGGACAAGTTTGAATGCATACTGATCTTGCTCAAATTATATATGGCTTGGGGACTGGGGAAACTCTTTAGCGTCCAGCTGTATAAAATGCCACGACCACGGCCTCTAATCCGGCCGGTATGGTGGTGATAAACACACACGGTTAATGTTTAACCTAAAAGAGGTGCTCAAAAGATAAAGGCAATCGTTTACCTCTACTGGTGCCCTAGGTGCAGTTTTACCGTCCATCCTGGTGCTTAAGGACTTAAAGCAAGGGTCGGGAGTTTGTAAAAGTTCGTCGACTGAAGAACAACACTTTGTGATGACTCGGTGCACGATAAGAAAACAATCCCTGCCCCCTGGCGTGTGTAGGAGTGGCCGTGGGATCAGTGTATGTGTCAAGGTGTCGTGTTACCACGTACTCTTGCTTGCAGTCTTTACAAACATTTAGAGGTAACTTCGGACTGCAAGCAAGAGAAGACAAGGATCAAGTCAGCGGACTACGATGGCTGTGCAAAAGATTAAGAAAACAAAATAAAATGGGCTTGCCAACTTGGCATATCCTGACTCGTATGTGGGAGTAATAATTGAGTTAGCCTGGATGATCCTGGATGTTAGACTCCAGCTTGACACAATATTCCCTTCGGCTGGGGGACGCCACAAGCCCCTATCCCAGAGTTAGTACATGAAGGTCTAATGTATCTCTATCTATGAGTCTATGGAAAAAAAATCCAAGCCGAGAAGCTAGGCCTGCATATGACCCTAGCTGGCATAGCCTGGCACCCAGGCTACCGTTGAGTGGTCTTGGGGATCTAAGGTTTCATTAAATGGAAACAGCTGTCTGGATGACGTACTTTTTGGCAGGGCCACATGTTTTGACTGAGTGAACGGAAGTTGCAAAGCTGTTATTGTTCTGCTTTGACGATTTCTAAAAGAGTGTGGAATGTTGATTGACGTGATATTTTCAGGTGAGCTTGGTGGTAGAATATTGTGGGCAAGAAAAAAAATCTGTAGAATCTCAGGCCTGTAGAAGTAGAATCTGTAGAATCTCAAATTCTGCTGTCAGCAGATTTGATGAATGAAGTCTTCAACCTTGACAAGAAGCCTTGGGCGATGTTACTGATTACTTAAAGGGCAAAGTTGTAACCTGGATGCCAGGCCCACAGCACGTAGGCTCTGAGTTTGACAGCATGGGGGCTAGTGGCTCAGGTCGTTTAGTGTGGGTCCTGGAAAGTCTGGCACCCAGGTTACTCCTAAAAACTGCTTTTGTCCTACACTGTTGATTATTCCACCTTACTAATGAATGAGAATGTTAAAACTTTTGTTTACGACAGATTTGTAACACACACATACGATGTTGTGGACAATTGATCTAAATCTAGGAGAAAAAAATTAGTTCATTTTTCTAGAATTCTCCCTTTCATCATGTTTGCATTTGATCTGAGAATAAGTTTTCTAAGACCACAACTTAAGTGATAAAAAGTGAACACAAAATGATGACAAAAGAAATGCAGACTTCAACATTTATTTTGTACAGAAGAGAGCTTTGACCCAATGCCCCATTATAATATTTCAACTGTCTTGTAATAACAAAGTCATGTATGTGACGCCACAATACACAGATTCCTCTGGGTTAGGTTTATAACTGTTAATGTTAGACCAGATCCGAGTACAATTTCCTACAAAAGTCACATTGGAAGTCTTTTTTGGGTGTCAGCTTCCCCGAATTGAAAGACAGCATATTGAGATCTGCAAAACCATAGGTTTTGAAAAAGAAGTTCTAATCAGTTGGGACAAATGTCTTCTGTTACAAACACATTTCTGTACTACATACTGGGGATTTGGGTGTTTATATATACAAAAGGTATGCAAGCTATGTCGACATACATAGAACGGCTAGCAAAAGTCCTGTTCATGATTAGTTCAAAATGTAACATTTTTTTTGCAACCTCCAAAGCAACAGCTGGTCTTTGCTGGATAAAACATCATCCATTTGTATCCACAATTGTTTCTCTAAAGTGAGAAAAAAAATGCCAGAACAGTTCAAAACGTTTAATTTTCTCAGCTTTTTAGGAACCAGCAATCTGTTTAGAAGATAACATACAATGTAAACTAACACTTCCACAGATGCTTTGCTGTTTTATGTGTCATCCATCATTTTTAAATACGACCCATTGTCTAAAGCTATCCTACTGAAAATTACAGATAAAATTTCCTACTTACCAAATGTCCTGTAATGTACATTAAACAGCATGAGCATCTCGGATGCTGTTTCAAGGATTCTTTTTTTTTCAAGCACAAAGAAAGTCTGGGCTAAGCTTAAAGCTGGTGACAATTCATGTAACTATCAATTTTGGCAGTAACACTTACAGTAACACGAACTAAATAATATCTTAGGTGTATCTTTATATCCTTAGATGGTATGACCGGAAAATAAGGCCTAACAGGCTGTAACTAGACTGGAGCTTTGGGATGGGCTAACATTTATCACTCGTATATCTTCCTATGTACCAGCATTTATGTGGTACAAGACACTCATAGAGTGTTTTATGTTAGCATTTATCTTTGTTGAGAATACTAGATGAGCGGCCAGCTAGATGACTAAAGTGATACAATTTCTGGACAGTGAACTTGAAAGTGTGAAATATCCTGATGCCGTTTTTGGGAAACTACTAGAGGAAGTATGTGAGCTCGTGACGGGTGTATGTGTTCTTGTCGTCGTCTGAGACCTTGGGATAGGCTGCCACGAGCGCGTCCTGGCCGCCGATGTACAAGTTGTTGTAGATTCTCCAGTACGTGTCGCGCACCTTCCTCGCAGGATGGAACAAGCCCTGTGGAGGTAAAAAAAGTTTTCTGTAATCTGAAGCTAAATGTTCTTGTACATTGTTACTACTGCATACACTTTAACCTACCTACTAAGGTAACTGTTTGGCACAGATTTTGTATTTATTATGGCGTTAGGCAGCAGGGATATGGTAAAATATGGTAGAATATGACTTTCGTACTCAAGGAAAGGAAGTATAATAAAAAATTGCAGCTATAAACTGAGAGGAATTCTCTTTTACTCTTTTTTCCATTGACTTATTTTCATAGAACACTTGAAGAGCAAACCATAAAGCTAATAAACTGATAAATCTAATAAAAAAACTGTACAAAAAAAGAAGCACATCTGACCTGCAGACAGTACTGTAAGAGTTTCCCCGGCCCCAGTGCTACTCTCAGCCCCTCCAGTGCGTCCATGACAGCCTGGATGACGTGAGGCGATGTTTCGAAGATGTTTGGCCACACGTAGTTGGCCAGGTGGACCAGCGCATCTTCGCAGCCGAACCCGTACACACCCAGGGACATGTGCTTGATGGCTGAGCAAGCCGTTTGTCTGTGAACCAGGTCTCTGTGAGGAAGACAGATAGAAGGGACAATGAATAAACAGGAGTTAGAGAAACTAATTGGCCAGGGGAGTTCGGCTACCGTACCCTACTGGCCAATCACTTCCTTTTTGGCTGAAATCTACAATCTACATCATAGGAAGGCCTTGTGGAGGCATTTTTTTTACAGCTATGCAAGGTTTTCTAACTGATACGGGAATCTGGTTACAGCTAATGCTATCTATTCTACCAAACGCCATTATGTGAAGACAAATGATATGGAACTATAACCATCTTTAGTCACAGTCAGAAGATGTGCGCTCACCTGTCCATGAGGGCATCCTCTAACAACGGAGTCACGGCGTAGATGTAGTCCTTTCCCATCTCACCGATGTACTCAAACAGGAAGGACAGCGACTTCAGCACGCCGTTCTGCACGTTCAGCTCGGGGACTCGGTACTCGTTCATCAGCGCCGGGAGGACTGTGAAGGGGGAGCACGTCTCTGCCACGATTGCTATGGCAACTGTCGTGCAGACGCGGTTCTGTCGCTCCTGGACCTTCAGGTTGTTGAGAAGTGTGGCCAGCACATCGTGAGGGCTGGGGGAGGAGAAAAGACAGTCAGCACCTTCACACCTTATATCTTTTCACTTCTTATATTTTGAGTAAGTAACTAAGAACAGGCTACATAAAGTCTTAGGCATCATCATGCGCACGAACAGTCATTTCTATGATTATTTCTAGGAGTTATTCCTATACGTTTTTTAAAGATTAAACAAAGGTCTGAAGCAGAATCATGTTATAAATCTGTTGGTTTGTGACACCCACATCAGTGTGGCAAGCCCACTGAGAAAAGCCTGACAATGGTTCTGAGTGCTCCACTTCATCTAGCATTTCATCTGTCCTCACAGACAATAGGACATCTGGTTGGATCATAGAGATGAATGCAACAGAAATAGATGATTTCTATTTTAACACTTAATTCTATCTATTCCATAAACCAATTAGGAAGGCATAAGTTAACAAACTTAACTCACCCGATAGCCTTGGCGATGTAGCCAAATGTGTTGACAGTTGCTCTCCTGATGGCTTTCTTGTGGGCTTTCAGCAACTCCAGCAGTTCAAAGCAAATCCTCATCCACTCACGAGCAGACACAAACTCTGAACCTCTGTAAAAGAACGGAAGAACTTCACAGAAAAGCTCATACCTATTCTTGACAAGACACCTTTAACATCTTTAAATGCCGACATCATTTGAAGCATTTTATGAAAGGCATTTGGTAAAAGTATGCTGAAACTAAATGATGAACCTTTTTCTCAATAGGGACAGAATATAGTTCCTTCTATACAACAATGAAAACCTCAGTCTGACGTGCTTTCTCAGCAGAGACGTCCTTGTCTCTGACAGGGATAACTTTGTCATCATCATAGGCAAACGACCTAGTGAATTAGCTAAACCGTATAGCCTTGCTATTGGGTTTAACTAATATACTAACCACCACATATAGGACAAGAACTACTGACCTGTCTGCAATTCTTCCCACCAGGTCGATGCAGTTCTCCTGCACTTTCTCGTGACGGTTCTTCAGGATGGGTGTCAGGCGTGGCAGCAGGTCCTTGATGGGGGGAGTCATTTTCTGCATGCCGATGACGTTGACAATGGCCTTCAGGGCACCGAGAATTGAACCCAGAACCTCTGGGTACTCTTCTCCCAGGTACTCATAAAGTACCACTCCCAAATGGCCCATCAGTTTTTCCTGTCAAAGAAAACATGAATACTTTAACATACTACTTAGGTAGAACAAATACTTAGGTAGAACAAAAACTGATCTCTTAAAGTTCATATATTTTCCCAATAAGCAGATACACTTTAGGATGCCATTTACTTAAAGATAAAAGACAGTGCTGCACATACCACATAAGACTTAAGAGATATGGCAGCCAGGAGAGCTTTCTGTTGCTAGGATACCATGCCTCAGTCTGACGTGCTTTCTCAGCAGAGACCTTAGCCTCTGACAGGGATAACTTTGTCATCATCACAGACATAAAAATGGTTTCATGCTTAGATTTTTGTTCAGTAGTGTGGCATTCAATTTCTTCTCAGCCCTTGAACAATTTAAAATCATGTTGACATACCTCTGAAAAAGCAATGCTTATATGCAACAGGTAGACTGACACTTTTTACTGTTTACTCGTTTTTTTTTTACTGAATGAAGAAACAAAGAACAGTGGTTTGACCCACCTCCTGACAGGTCTTCATCACCACGGCGATGCGAGAGATGAGGTCAGCGGCTTGCTGACGGACCTTGGCTGCCTTGTTGTTCAGACGCCACAGGATGGTACCACAGATCTGGGGCAGGTAGGGCTTCACACGCTTGGCCAGGGCATTCACAATGGTGCCGAAACCATTCAGCATCACAACATCCTATGTGAGAGAGACACATCTAATTTAGGAACCTGTATTTGCCTACATTTCAGAAACCCAACAAAAATAAACACAATTGAAACCCACAGGAACTAGATGAGAGGTATCTTTACAGGGTTTGTTAACCTTGTTTGTCATACTTGTAACAGTGACCACCTCTGCATAGAGACCACCTAGCCATTGTGTGTCCACTTTAAGATGGTAGATTTGTGTGTTTTGTGATATAAGGCTGGCTCTAGCTATTTATTGTTGGTACCAAAAAATAAAGGGACTCCTTGGGTAGCTTGCTTTGAGATTATTGTACAGTATGAAATCATGGCAAAAATGTGGTAAAAAAAATGGCAGTATATGTCACTACCAGACAGATTTCCTCATCCAGAATATTTTTTGGTTTTGCTGGCTCGAAAGAGGGTGCCTTTAAGAGCTTGAATAGGACACAAGCCCACCTCTGTAGTCTGTTCCTGGAAGGCGTACAGGATGCCGTCGATGAGCTGTTCCTCCAAGCGGGAGTCGATGTCGGCTGCCCCCAGGTTGGCCATGATCTTCTCGATGGTCTCCATCACCATCTTCCTGTACTGCTCAGCCTCGTCCTTCAGGTCATCCACGATGCGACTGATGATCTCCGCTGCACCAACCTTGTTGGCGATCTCCACTGTCGTGTCTACAAGCTGTCAGGTAGGAAAATAAATCTCTTTACTTCTTAGATTCAATAAAATGTAGTGAAACAGAACCATGTTAGACCTGGGAAAAGTAATGTTGTGTTTACTATTACAGTCCTGAAAAAATGGCTCGGTAGGTAGGGATTCACTTTTTGCAATTGTTTTTTTTATATAGGAAATCTTTGGTTAATCATTCTCTCTATGTTTGAAAAGCACATCATGAGAAAGCTAAAGAACCAAGGAAGAGCCGCTGACCTGTCTGTAGTTCCTCCTGTCCAGGGCCATCCTGTGCTGCCAGAAGTGTTTGAAGAAAGGCGGCAGGATCTCTTCCCGGATGTACTGGGGCTCCACACCATCTGTAGCACAGCACTGCTTCACTACCTGTAACACAACACAGCCTGCTCACAGAAAAGGTGGATCTTTCCTTAAATATTACCATAACTGTTATCATGAACATGTGTACAGGACATAGAAATATTCAAATGAATCAAATATTGCTTCCTGTTTAGTGACTTTTACTTGAATACACAAATAATTTGACAAGTATTATAGTCATCTCATAATTTTACTAGTCATCTCATTAGTCACATTCAATATATCTGATTCTATATATATTGCACATGATAATGAACCATTGAGCCACAATAGCAGCCTGTTGTTGCTAGGATACAATGCCTCAGTCTGACGTGCTTTCTCAGCAGAGACTTTAGCCTCTGACAGGGATAACTTTGTCATCATCACAGACAATATTTTGTACCAAATGGCTTAGACATATTTCGTCTACTTTTGAGAAAGGGTAAAGACCATGACTCGATTTGCTATCTGTACTCCTACTCCCTCTTTCTTACCTTTTACCAGGATGTGCAACTAGGAGTAAAGATTTAAGTAGAAGGATACTCACTTTCAACACAATTTTCTTCATTTCCTCATCAGGAGACTGGAACTCTCGGATCAGGATGAGCATCACTTCACGGGTGTAGTAGCTGGCGTACTCTGCGTCCATGAGGGGGATCAGGTAACCAATGGCCTTCAGGAAGGCGGCTAGACCCTGTGGTGCAGGACAGCACATTGGGGTTAGACTCCTATTCATTTCTACATATAGCACATGGTATTGAAGAGCAAGGAAAACTTTCTATGCCTAGGATACAATGCCTCAGTCTGACGTGCTTTCTCAGCAGAGACCTTAGCCTCTGACAGGGATAACTTTGTCATCATCACAGACAATTTTCATATGATTCTTCGGCTTCAGTTCTCAAAACAATTTCCTTCAAGTTCATGCTTCAATTACTCAAACGACACTTTTGGTCATGTAATTAAAAACACCTGTAAAAACAGTAATCGCTACCAGATATAGAAGTGATTTTCTCACTCTGGGACAGACTGAACCCAACCATATGCACTACAACCTACAAACAGGAATACCAAAAATAATACCTGCATTTTTCATGGAGGTAATCATATCTTTACAGTACATGCCATTACAGTATAGGAGTACTATTAAGAGAGAAATTGGTCCTAACCTTTCCTCTGTGCTGGCGGATACCCTTCCAGAGGGGTTTGAGAACACTGTCAAACGACTCAATGCCATAGGGTGTGGCAGCCTCAGCCAGGGCAGCCAAGGCCAACGCAGTGATGGTACGTACTTTCTGCTGCTCATCTACCAGACCTGGAGAAAAGATAGACAGTTTTGTAAAAAAGATCTACATAGATTTTTGAAAAGCTTGACATAAGTACCATAGGAGTGTCTGCTGATACATTGTATAAAAGACAAGTGTATGGTTGAATATGAATCTACAAGATGGACCTTATCAAATTCATATGAATAGCTACTTGTTGTATCAATGTCTCAGTCTGACGTGCTTTCTCAGCAGAGACATCCTTGTCTCTGACAGGGATAACTTTGTCATCATCACAGACATAAAAGAGAGATTCCCCCCCCCCAAAAAAAAACTTTCAAGCAAAAGGAATAAAGAGTCTGTTGCAGAAGAAATAAAGAATTCTAAGCCCCGATATTCAATGTGAACACTACTCCGCAGTATGTATTATACTGTTTTCTTTTTCTTGTAAATTACCGATTCTCTATCGTTATGCAGCAGAAACAATGGCTGAAATAAGAAGCACCTACCATGTTCAATGATCTCCACCAAGTTCTTGAGGTGAGGTAGGATGGCACAGCCCATGAGGATGGCGATCTGCTGCACGATTTTAATACCTGTGTGGCGAGCCTGCCACGACTTCTTACTCCTGCACACGGCCTTCAGGAAGGGCAGGAGGGACGGGATGCCCAGAGCAGATGCCACCACGGCAAACGCACGCGCTGTGGTGTTACGCACGTACTCGTCCAAGTTGTCAATGTCGGGACGCATGGTGGAGATCATGGTGGCCAGGCCGGCGGCCTGAAATTATAAAAATTAAATTTTTATTACAGCTTTTTTTTCAACAAGATACAAAAACCCATCTTTTTCTGTTCTACAAGTTGTCAACATCACAAAAACAACAAAAATTCACCAGTCAGTTACATGAGGGATAAACACTAAGAGAAATGTACCAGATACCTTTGACCCAGTGTAGATGTCACACTTCAGAGAAGCCACAGTGACAAGTCTCACTGTGTCAGTCTACTGAGGAAGACCAGAGCGACTGGTCGAAGTTCTAGGTGAGAGATTTGTTGGATCAAAAGTTTTAACTTTAAACAGACCTTCGCCAAGTTGGAGATGATCTCCCTGCCCTCCACACGAGCGTAGTAGTCCTCATCGATGAGCAGCGGCTCGATCACCACCAGGATCTTGTGCACGTAGGGTCGCACCAGGTCGTCCAGCTTGTACAGGATGCGGTCGATCACCTTGACCAGCAGATGGCGCTCCTGATCCTCCAGCGTGGGAGACATCAGCAGGGGCAGGATCTGGTTAAACAGCGGGCCGGCCCCAAACTCACGCGCCTTGTCTGTGATCTGTCTCAGGGCAGCCTGCAAATGTTTTTTTCAACAATTAGAATGACAAATTGAATAAAGCCGTCTACCTAAACAAACTTTATGTACAGGTAAGCAGTTAGGTACATGTACAGGTCTGATCTTATACCCGAACAATTCAACAAATTAACATGTTCTTCTAAAATAACAAGAAACATCAATGAACATGTATGTTTATGTTTATGGAGAATTCTCAGACAAAACATGGGCAAAATAAGATGTTTTAGTTTTCATCCACTACATTAGTGGCCTTATGCAACACAAACTGACCAAAGTGTCAACATGGGAGAGCATACCTAATATGAAACAGATCTTTTTGTTAAAACTGTCAATCTGTAGATCTATAACACAAACACACTGTTTTGCTTACCTTCCTCATAGGTGGAGTGCCATTCTTGATCTTCAGGAGGAGCTTCATGATCTTCCTCTCTTTCTGTTCCTCAGCACTGAGGGTGGACTCGTCAACATCCACCAACAGCTTGTCGAAGTACTGCACATCATCTGGAAGGAACAAACAGTTTTCTCTTCAAGATCCCACCTTAAGAAGATCAAAGGCATCCAATGCAATTTCAGGGTAGCAAAACTGAATTTCCCAGTAATCCTTTTAATGTACTAAGTTGAATCAATCCTATCCCTAAGCATACCGATATCTGTGAGGCAAAAATCTTACCTGGTTTGAGGAAGGGTAAGTTCCCAGAAGGCTGATCTGTCAGCTGTTTCAGGCTCTTGTCCTCCACCTGGATATGGAAGCCTGTCATACCCCCCATGGGTGTGGGAGTGGCTGTCAGCTTCCTGGCCGGGGTACGGATGGGAACGTAGCCAGCTGGGGGAGCCAAGGTCTGCAAGGAAACAACATTTCACTGTGAGGTTTAACCTTCTTCCTGCTACAGTAGGCTTCTGGCATCACATTTGTAAAGGGTCAGACAGCAAGGAGCAGACATTACAAGTAGCAGGGTGCATTCTTACAGCATAAATTGTTGGTCTACGTTTGTGTATTATTTGAGACTAGCTATTTGAGACTTTATACCATGCAGTTTGCCTCTATTTATGCTACAGAAAAACTACCCAAGAAGACATCTCAGGGATTGATAATATCTGATGTTGACAAAATTACAATAGACAGGATTCTTAATGCTTGTCTCCATGTGAAAAATTATCTAAGAGACCACTAAGATGTTACTAAGAGGTGGTCCTTATGCAGAGGTGGTCACTTGTACTGGCTTGACTGTAGTGTAAACTTTTACATTTAATAAACTTGCTTATGAGTATTGTCCTGATGGGTATAATGTTGGAATGAGTGAGCATAAACTTATAACACTGTGTGGAGAGAAAGACTGTTTTACTAACCTTGTACCCCTCAGGCAACATGGCGTCAAGTTCCTCGTCTGTCAGAGGCCTGTTCCTCTCGTCAATCTCCCGCTCCCAGCGCCACGCCTGCATCTGTTCTGGAGTCATCTGCATGATGTGACCTGTTCACAGGAAAATATCATATTTACTACTCCATTAAATAATTTATCATCCTTATTTCAATAGATTCACATTTGTTAAGGTACTAGAGGCATAAAAGTTGTGATAACTTGAGTGTAACCTACAAGTGGATTCATTAACAACCACAAACATGCACCGCTAAGATGCCATAAGATCTGTTCAGAGAAAAATGTCATATCATGCTTACAAATTCCAGAAAGTCAGCAAGTGGATCTGATGAAAATTGAGGAGTTTGACCAAAATTTATGGTGAATTCCCTTTGTGTTGGAATTAAGTTTAACTTTACCAATAGTTTACCAACACAGACTAGCTTTCGTTTGAGAAGTAGAATCACTACATACCTGGAGTTGGGGTGGCCATGTTCATGGCCTTTGGTCCTGTCGGGGTGATGCCCTGTCCCAGCATGGGCGTGGCCGGCCCAGGTGTTCCCACAGGTGTCTCGTCCCACCTGGAGCGCCGCTTGCTCGCGTTACCAGGTGTGGGTGTCTCCGAGATCACCCCGTCACCCATTCCACGGTCGGTACGGGGAGTCTCAGCCCACCCACTGCCATGTCCAGGGGTTTCTGGTGTGGTAAAAATAAACTGTTATGTAGGAACAACAGGATCCTTGATATTATTACGTGTTTGGATGGTTTTGGATGATATTTGGTATGTGGGTTGGTCTTGGGAAAAGGTTAAAGTCAGTTATGAGCCATCTGGCGGCTTTCCGTCATATCATGAATAATAACATTATGCATTACTAAGAAACACCCAGTTCTGTTATGAATATCAAAAGCAACATTATCTGGACAATTAACAACTCTTCACAGTCTATGAGAAGCATTAAGTTTTCTAACATGTCCAAAGGCTAATGTGGGAAGCTACCAAGATCCCAGGCCTTAAAGTGTTATGATAAGTGCTAGTTTAAGGTAAGGTTTACACAAATAATTGTTCCACACTCACCTCTTTCAGTCTTGGGGGTTTCGTCCCATCTGTTTCTCCGAGCGCTGGGTGTGGCGCGTGGCGTCATCCCTCCAGCTCCCGGTGTGTCGTGGCCAGGTGTACGGCCAGGTGTGGTGGCTCCAGGTGTGGCATGTGCAGGTGTCTCCGCCCAGTTCCGTGTGCTCTGGCCAGGTGTGGCACCTGGTGTCTCTCCACCTTTGGGCCGACCGGGGGTTTCGTCCCATCTGGTCTGGGCTGGGGTGTGGGACGGAGTCTAGAAAAAAGCAACAAAAAATATGATTATGTTTAGATGTCATAATCATCATTCAGCTGAACTTGTGACAATAAAATACCTTCAAGCAGCATATCGGCAGTTTCTATTGCGCATGCACAAAACCTGTAAGTATTGTGCATAGCACTTTGGCAGACAGTCTTGTTAAAGGTCGTATTTGGGTATTTAAGGATGACATTCCATGTATAGTTTTCAACTGTTGTTCAGAAAGGCAAAAATTCTGATGCAACGTGGACCAAACATCCTATGAAAAATGGGAAATTCTGCATAAAAATCTACATTTCAAAAGACTGACAAAGCTATGATACGTACATCAGCTTGGTCCCAACTGGACATCTTCTTCTTGGGTGTGGCAGAAGGTGTCTCATCACCTGTCTGGTCCCAGCGTCGCCTCTTAGCTGTAGGTTAAAATGAACATACTCATTAATATCTCTAAAATTACTCACAACTCTTAACATAAATGTTAGTTTGTATTGAAACACAGAAGACCTTTTTGTTTACTATGATATGAATCACTGAACAGAGGATAATCTGTACAACACAAATTGTACGACTGTACAGAAGTATGTAACTGTATCTACAACAACTTACTGGCTTTGGGCTTCTCCTCTGCCACTTTGTTGACTTGCAGATCTCCTGTCTTCTGCTTCTGTAGAATTTCCTCCCGCACTGCACGCTGCAAACATAGCAACAGCACACAGTTAAAGATTTTCTTCCACTTTCAAGATTAAAGTACTCATTGTTTCTGTACATTTTGAATAGTCTACATTGTAACTGGACATTGCATACAAAGGGCTCGAAATACTGGGTGCATATGCACCTTGGTACAGCTGAAATCAGAACTGTGCTGTACTGGTCCATGTTGTACTGGTCCATGTACTAGGTTTATGTATAGGTGTATGTGGATTTCTAGTTACTGCATTGACTGTTACCACATATGACGCATAAAAGAAATAATGGCAGTGGTCTGAACAGCCATAGTATGATCCATACTTTTAGATTTTGAGTAGTGCAGGTGCTCCTTCGATGTTAGTAATGTTACGCAGGTATGCAGAAAAAATGTATTTCAAACCCTGATACACTACATGATTTATTCACTGCTAAAGCGTCAAGCCATGAAATACAATTTTAAAACATCCACAAAACTAATATCCAATCTTGGAGTAAGGCTGACTGTAATGTAATCATGGAAAGTAACACTACAAACCTCATCTTTCTTGAGAGCGGCCTCCCGCATGACATCCTGGTACGTTCTCACCGTGGGGTCGGGAGTCTTGCCACCTACACAGCAACAAAGAAAACGTCATGGGAGAGAAAAGATAAAAGCGTTAGTAAAGTGAGACAAAGCAACAACAAAGCATACTCTCTAAGACTTCGCCCAGCCTTCCACATTCTTCAAGAGAAAATACTGGAGACACAAGTGAAGTACATAATCCTCATTACACTTAGACAGTTTTCTTGAAAATAAAGTTTTCTTTAAGACCCAAAGATTTTATGGAAAAAATGAATTCTGGGTGGTCATCTCAGAGAGCATACTCACATACAACTCTACATAAGTTCAACAAAAAGTTAAATATAATAATGATATGAACTTGCATTCAGCTATATTTTCAAAATAAAAGTCCTGCAAGCATCACAACTAGACCTGTGACCTTTCTTAAATCAAAAAGAATGTTGGCAAGGTGTGCCTTATGATTTGTCTCGAGTTTTGAAGGCATGGAATGTGGTCTGTGGGTTTCTCTGTCTACAACCTCTACAAGAAGACATTCATGTTGCAATGTAATGCCCTGTTCTTGGTAGGGCTGTAGATCCAGGGAAACCTTTGTGTTGCCAGCAGGTACAAGTTATGCATACAAAATGGCAAGAACAGGACTTCATGATTCTAGTGGTACAATATAATACTGAACAGATGCCCCCAAAGGTGTAAGAATGTTCAACAAAATCTTATTAAAGACTTTTTCTTCACAAACATTGCTTTGGACATAAGAACTTGTTGAGAAATTTCGGTAAATACTGTTTTCTTTCACCAGTTTGGGGGCAACGGTTCCAAATTCCGTCTAAATACATGAACGACACTTGGCATCAAATCTCATGAATACACAAGGAAAGAACACAAAGGCAGCCATCTTTATGGGATGGTGCAGCATCCACAGGAACAGTAGAAGTGCGGATGTGTAGATGGCGGTGGCGGTTTATATACCTACTGTGTCCTGCCAACGGCCTCAAACCATCGCTACCAACTCTTCCGCATCTGCAAAGAGCAGGCTTCCGCCTAAACATATTACCTCAAGGAGTTAATAGACCACAACAAGGACCTACCAACTATCACAATGAATCTACAAATTACACTTCGAGACAGAGCAAATTTGGACAACACCAATCACATTTAAAAGCCAGAAGCTTACGATGTTATTTTTCTGACTCCTTCGGCATGCGTTTGGTTACAGCTGGTACATACAGTTCTGACGTGCTTTCTAAAGTAAAAGGTTGGCTGTTTTCTTGACAAATTGCTGTTAAGAGTATTTTTTTCAAAAGCTTTTTGAATGATACTGTGACTACTTCAGGCAAAGTTGTTTCTGTGGTTCCTACTCATATAGCCAATACATTAGTTTACAGTCTGAACAAGCTATGGACAAGAGCTAACAGTTTTTGTTTGGCCAATAGTTTCTTTTCAAGCAACCCTGCACCATGTCCTGTGTGCTAACCGTTGTTTTCTCAGAGGAAGGATGCTGTTGGAAGAAAATTGGAAGGTACGTTAGTATGTGTTCTTTGCAAGTTTCTTATTGATACTCATGTATAACATGGATGCTTGAGAAGTACCGACATGATGCTAAGAAAGTTTGGCCGCCTTCTTAGCATCAGTGCCACATGACAGAGAGAAAACATTTGGTGTGCGGTTCACAACAAAATCTTTCACGCAAAAGAGACTCGCTCCATGCAGTATAGATTCACTAGAAGACACAACAGACTATTGGAAGTTAAAGATATATCAGAAAATCTGAGACTGTCCCAAGCTGTACTTACCCAGGCTTACAGTATCATCAACAGTAAATAATTGGTTTATTTCTGTACATTGTCTAGAAATGGATGAACAGTTCATTTAAATTTCTTGTAAAAGAAGGGATTTCATTGTTTAAGTTCTCTTATTCATGGGAAACAACATTTCATTGTATACACTCACCAATGTGACACATATCTTACCACGTTAGATTTTTTTTCCAAAGAGATAATGTATGTGAAGAAGTAATAATATCTATTTCCAGATCCAGATTGAAAGATGGATCATAAACCATAAACCTGGGTAGCACAGCTGGGACATATCTGAGAATATAACAGGACCTACCTGTCATTTACTGTTGGCATAACACTCGTCAAGTGAGAGACTGCTTCTGGAACTTTCTCAATGTAACAAGGACTTTCTTCCACACCACTTTCACAGCAGTACTTAGCAACACACACTTGCCTGGCCAATCATTAAATAGTGTTAATATGAATGGAGAAAATACATAAGGAGTCATGTTTCAAACATGCTCTTTTAAACTTTTTAAAAAAAATTTTAAAGGGGAGGGTATTTTAGATAACTGGCAACAGGCATGTGTATGCCCACACACCACTGGTTCATAGGTAATGTTGTACGTAATAGCAGCTTTTCAATGCCATGAGAATAAAGATGACCACACTCTACCTTCAGCGAAGGGGTCGAATCGCTCGGGCGAAATGATGAGGTTGCGGCGGCGGGCCCTGTACTCGTCTTCCCGCTCTGCGATGGTTCGGACGCGGTGTTCAGCGAACGGGTCATAGTTCTGGTGAAGGGAAGGAAATGTGAACCTCAATAATCATCACATGAAAAACTATTAGTTCTGCTGCAGTACCAAAGAAAGTAACAAGGGGGCCAACTTGTCCCTTATTTTGCCACTGACCACACAATTATCATTACAAAATCTAACAACAATAAAACAGGATGGATTTTGACATGTAAATGACAGTGAAAGATGAGTATTTTAGCTAGTGTCTTACCTGTTCAGCCTGTGGGATGTCGTTAAGTAAAGCGGCTGGTGCTGTGTAGGTAGACCTCTTGGCCAGCACACTGCCTGTGTAGTCATCTTCATCATCATCCTGAAAGAAATCAAGAAAGTATAAGTGTAAGTCCTACCCGACTGAAGACTCTAATCTACTCTACTTTATATAGACAACATGAAAACTTACTAAATATTAAGATTGCAACAAGATTACAATGCAGGCACTAGGCTGCTACTAGCTGATAGTAAATAGCTGATGAAAATTTAAATTTGTTCTTGAAATAAAACCTCCCATACCTGGATGTCATTTGCAGGAATGGAGGTGACATATCCCTCGAACTTGCTGTTGGTGCCGCCGTAGATTTCCTGGTCAAAGTGACCGTGTGACGTCAGGCCGACGCGATCATTCTCCGGTGGTTCTTCTTCACGTACGTTACCAGACTTCTTGGCCTGGATCTGTCTGATTTGTTCTTCAAATTCTACAAGATGAAAAAACAACAAGAAGCCATAGGTGACAATTCTCCGTGAAGTATTATATATTGCAACAAAAAGAAGTAGCCATTGGCGACAATTCTCTGTGAAGTGTGATAAATCGAACAAAGAAAAATTGTTTAAACGTGCGTCGGCTCAGTCATCTTAAGACGCAACAACCAATCAGAGATGCGAGATGCCGACACCTGACGCGGGAAGGGCGCGCGATGCCCGAAATATTTTTGCGTCAATATTCAGCGCCGTGATTCAAGAGATTAATACCCGGAAACAATTTCTTTTCTTGTTTTGAACGCATTAACATGCATTTACGCTAATCTAGTATGATTCAGGGTTACTTTTTTTTTAACCTGCCATGGCCAGATTATCTAAAGATGTGTGTATTGTGTGTACAATCTATAGAAAGAGAAATATACATCAGGTCCGATCATCCGATTTTCACGTTTCGGTTTTATGGACTCGGTTCATGAACGTATTTTGGTTTGGCTCCTGGAATGTGCGAAAAAAATGACTCCCGGGACTGTCTACAGGGAACACTCGCACATTCGCGGTGTATCTGGACAGCGCGACTGGTCGGCATTAGCGCAGTAACAGTTGCATAAACGGACGAAACCATTTCAAAGAAATGGGGATGTTTCGAAAATAACCATTTACTCCAATATCAAAACAGCTACGGTAAAAATAAAAAGACGTGCATCATCCTGGACATAATGCAACACCACATGCGAAATTACACAGAAATGCGACGTACGGAAGAATGCGTTTTGGCTGCGAACATCTTCAAAAAAACTTGGCATCTCTTAACCATGGACAAAAACATCTCGAACCACTTATAAAAACCACCCCGTATCTGCATGAACTTTTACCCCCCCCCACTGCTATTCCAAACAACGCGTTTTTCTGGACCATTCCAATTCGCCTCGTAATTGTAGGGGTGCGTCTGCGATATTACATTGACCGCGAGAGCAGCAACGGCAAAAATACACATTCGTGCATCAACACGGGCATGCCCGGGGACGGCGTATAAAATTGCGTGCCGATTACACAAAGAGAACCCAGTGTTTTGACTGCGAACATGAAAAATCAGCCGATTACAACACTCCGTCCGGAGGTCCTGACCTCCTTCACGGAGTAACAACGAAAATATTTTATACACAATGTGACATTACAGTACCAAACATAATTTGTTTTTGTTACATTGGATTTCTTTCCCCATGGCACCCAAATTGGAGGCATTTGAAGTACTAGTACTCATCATGTATAACCGTGTTAGCAGAATGTCCTGTGCCTGCCCAAAACCTGTAAATGCACAAGATATTGTGCATTTAGGATGACATACTATATGAAAAGACTATACTTTTCAAATGTCCTTGAACTAGATATTGTCTGCAACAAGCAAGCCAACAAAAAACGTGAAAAATCTGGATTCCTTGCTGGTGCAGTCCATTGTGCCGATGTGCTACAATTGCAAGAAGGAACCTTGGACATATCTGCTTGGCATTACTAGTTTGGCATAAGTCATCAAGAACTTTCAGATCAAGTTTTATACCCGCGATGGTCGTTTCGGTCTGGGCACTTTATAATCAAATTGAAACAAAAACATGCACAAGATTTTCCGTAACCAGAGTCCTTTTGTGGACAAATTTCCCCACCGTTCCTGTAGACTATGGGTCCTCCTAGACACTTACATTTTCATCTTAATTATTGATGGACGGAAGTACCGGCAAAATATCGTATCTAAGACTCAGACTACGTTGATTTCCTGCAAATTTCTCCTTCCAAAAAAAACACGCATGCGTTACGCTAAAATTTTGTGACGCCATTTTGGAAAATCTGTGTCGGGGAGACCAGAAACCAAACGCTTATAAACAGTATATTCAACAACATAGAGCCACATAACACACATCAGCATGATCTATAAACTCTATAGACCATTCCCTGAGGAAAATATTTGGCGCAAAACTTAAAGTTACGAGAATTCAGCCTACCTTCGACAGTGGTCGGCGCTACTCCTGTAGTAGCCATCGTGCAAAGCCGAAAAAATCGATCCCACAATGCCCCGCGGTCGACGTCGTCCCTTCGTCTTTGCTCGGAAATCTTCGGAATCAGAAAAAAATGATTCTTTTCAAAAATCTAAAAAGTTTGAGCACTGTTTGATGTAGAATTTATGATATCATCATTTAAAAAGAATCTTCTTTTGTTTTGTCATTATTTAGTTTATTTTTAAGTTAAATTCATTTATCGATCACGTCTTTTACGGAAATTTCCGAAAATAGCCGAGCAAGGAAGCTTATGAAAGCCCACGTCATCCAACGTCATCGATGACGTAGCCAGTAAAGGGTAACCTTCCGAGGCGAAGAGAAGATGGCTTCAAGCTTCAACAACCTGTCGAAACTCGGCAAGGCGTCTGTACAGATTGTCAGGGCCGAGATCGGGCTTTTGAACGCCAGAACGTGAGACTCCGTTTCCTGTAGCAGCAAAACACATACATTTTCACGAGTTTTTGGCGCGAATTCCGGCGTGACGTACCCAGGTCGATGTGACCTGAGCATGTCCAAACGCCGGTATGGGAGGGGGGCGATATGTAACAAGCTGGGAAATACCTTTTTGTCTGCATTTTTATGATGTCCCGTATCAACATATTATGATAGTCTTTGTATTTTGAGCCAAACATAATGTCTGAATCTTCATTCTGAATGTTACTTTTGGTAGACATATAATTTTTTCTCTTGTTATATAACATATTTGGCAAGGTGTCATAATTATAAGAATTAGGAGAGTAGAAACAGAAACTTGAGAAAGACACTCCTGGTGCATGGTCCCGGGCCAGGGATCAAACACACGCCAAACCCAGGCACCAGCTTACAGCCCTGATGCTCTAACGATTCGGCTAAAAGGTCCAGACACCCCCACTGTTACCTGTGTCATAATCACTCACTCACTAGCTTGATATGAAATTATACACTTCTAAGTTGAACTTCTCAAATGTAATTATACCTTTCAAAATGTTTCAGATGCTATTACACGTGTCGTGTGCTGACAGTAAAAACACCAGAGCTGCTGACAAAACCGGATGATGTCCAGATCACACAGAGCAGAACCTTCTTCAACCCATTTGACAAGGCAGCAGAACTCAGTCCCTTCAAGTCCAACAGGAGAAAGGAGTACTCGGAGAGAAGAATCTTAGGGTACCAGTCTTTGCCTTATTTTCTGATAGTGATATAATGTGAAGTCATTATGGATGTATTTTACATGTGTATTTGTCTGTGTGTATGCATCCATAGTTTTATAACAGTTGACCTGAATTAGTGTGTTGTATAATTGTATAGTACATGTACTAGTATGTGACTTCAACCAAGGAGGTTCTATCATTCTCCATGCTTAAATCATGGAGCTAGTATCCATGCCTTTAAATTCCTTGCGTAGGGTCGCATGTCGTAATGGCAGAGCATTTGGCTCAGAACCAAGAGGTCCCAGGTTCGAATCCTTCCCCCAACCTTGTGCCCTTGGGAAAGGCACTACACATACCTTTCCTCACTTCGCTCAAGTTTTTTTTTTTTTAAATTTCAAACAAGTCTTATTCAAAATCTTAACTGTTGTCTACACCTTCAACTTGTCTTTCCATTGTACCCCAAATGCTAACAACTTGGCCCAGTAGTTTTCTGGTTTTCCCTTTCAGCTACCTTACCTCTGTAAGGTGTCGCAACTTCAAGTATGTGACTGTGTGATTCATATACAGTAATGTACACATTTGAGAAAATGTTTCATGTTTATAAAACTTTGTCACCTTTCCCCTGACAGATACACCATGGATGAGATGTACAGGGTAGTAGCTGATGTGAATGAGTACAAACACTTTGTGCCGTGGTGTCTGAGCTCCAGTGTTGTGGCACAGAAGCCTGGGCACGCCAAGGCCAAACTTGAGGTTGGCTTCTCACCTCTGGTGGAGAGATACACGTCAACACTCACACTGGCTCGGCCACATCTTGTCAAGGTAAATAGCTGAAACAGCCAGCTTGCAAACGCAATGCACTAACCGCTAGGCCAAAAGGTCCGGACCCGTCTGACAAGCCAGTTAGTAGCACTTAAAACCTCACTGTTACACTCGTCTACTCCTCCATTTCTTACCAAGATTTGAATCTGAAGCACATACAAACACACATAAGGCGGTAACAGAAAGACACCTTGGCCCCGGGAATTGAACCCAGGTTGCCAGCTTTTGAACTTGAAACTATACATTATATGCTTGTAAACTAAATATATAATTTAATTATTCTAAAACTTATTGAGAAACCAAATGAATCATATACACTGTATGTTGTAGACAGTGAATATTTGATGCAGAAAGAGTCAAGGGTCAATGACCTTTAGGACAGTGTGACCTTAATTCTTCCATGCCAAGCCTTTTTAGGAAAGGTCATGTATCTTGAAATATGTGGGATAAATTTGCCATCCACTCCACATAAACAGTTATGTAATATTAAAGAAAATCTTTTAACATCATTACAGGCTACGTGATTAAAAAGAAATTAACCAGTTGTGAGATGAGTTTTAAAGAGAAACATCGGTTTCTTCTTTTCCTATACATAAATTTGAGGTCACTGACCTGCAGGAGACACTGTGTGGTTACATGGTTACAGGAAGTTTTTTTATTTCACCTTGTACATTGTATTTAGGTGGCTTTGGGCTTGTTCAAGTAATATTGATTTTTCTGTTCTATCCCAGGCAGTATGTACTGATGGCAAGCTGTTCAATCATCTGATCACGGTGTGGAGGTTCAGCCCTGGTCTACCTGACAACCCCAGGACATGCACTCTGGACTTCTGGGTAAGCAAGAGATCATGGGATAGCAGCTGAAGAAAAAAGACTCGATATGACAATCAACTTTGATATCATGAAAACACTTGTGTCTTTGATTTGTCTAATACAGTAGTATGATTTGAGTTTATCCCGTGTACATTTGTGAAGGGTTTGCTTGAATTTTGATATCTTTTGTTCTAACAGAGATTGTTCTCATCTAGAGCTTTCTACCCGTCACCCTGGTCTTCTTCAATAGACTGACCCAGTGAGACTTGTCACATGGCTTCTCTGAAGTGTGACGTTAACTTTGGGGTAAGTCTCACTGGGTCAGTCTATTGAAAAAGACCTGAGTGACTGGTTGAAAGCTCTAGGTGAGAACAATCTCTTGCGTTAGATTACAGAATAAAAGTTTGAACTTTAAACAAGTAACTATGTGTACTAACACAGATGAACTTTAATGACAGTATGATATCTTTTATGTTGTTTCAGATATCGTTTGAGTTCCGGTCAGCGCTGCACTCAAAGTTGGCGTACATGTTCTTTGATGAGGTGGTGAAGAAGATGGTGAAGGCGTTTGAGAAACGAGCTGCGGCAGTTTACGGGGAGACAGCGATTAGGTCTCAGATTATCTCTCACAGTACATCATGATGGGGGTTTATCTTGGGATGAACAACAGACATATAGGGAAAATTTGTCAGCAGATTTGGATAAAAATTGTTTTGATATTTTGTGCTGCTAAATAAAGTTACTGCCTGTACAATATTAAGGTACAAATTCACGATTTTATGGACAAAATTTGGCATGCGTTTCTTAGAAATAAAAGATGAGGACTGTTTTATGTATGGAGGTAAGGATTGACACCCAGACTGTACAAAAGGAGTATTGTGTATGCTGAGAAAAGACAGATACTTTATGAAAAGTAATGTGTACGTGTAAGTCATAAATGGTGGCCCCTAATTGGTTGAGTCCAGGGCTTTTAAATCATGTATTTTTGAAAGCGACACCAAGAAAAAAAGTTTGTCTCCAATTTTTTTTAAATGTCCTAATTCCCTTGGCAGAATATCTTGTAGCTCAGAATTGCTTGTCTGACAATTACATTTTGTACATATATATTAAATAGGAACACATATTTGTGATGGTTGCATAAGACAAAAACACTACTACTGGATTTTGAGAATGATCAAACAAAAAAGATTAGGTACTTGATCAAGCCTTACACTGTGATCAGTCAATTCACTGTAGAAATGCAACTCAGGAAAAATCAAGGACCATTACTCACAGAGATGTTAGCAGTTAAGTTGGGTACCGTAATTTCAGTTGAAAACAAGGGCTGAATCACTCATTAACACTTTTAGTTGACTTGTTTCTCACAGATGTTTTACAACTTACTTTCTCATCTTGTGGACTGATATTGCTTTATTAAGAAACAGTTGATGAGTTCTTCATTTAAGTTATAGATGTTTGTAAATAAGTAAAGAAAAGTATGGATTTTTTCTTCGCTGATATGAACATTCAAACAGAAATCCATATAAAATTGTTCATTTGGTATTTATTTAATACATATATTTATATTAAATGATTGGATCAAGTTTGTTGAGAAAACCTTTTGAAGTGAAAGTCAATGTTTGGAACGTGAACGGTAATGCAATCTAATAACAGAAAAAATGGTTTTATTTGTTATAAGGACTTCACAGTTGCATGTGATTTTACATTCTAAAGTATTAAAAGTTTATGAGTATTTAAAAATACATATTTTTAGATCAAACAGAAAGGTGGAAATTAATTTCCATAGTAGGTTCTGTGATGAACTTGAACATTTGGTATTGTGCTGGATGTTGTCATTTAAAATCTTACTATTGTATTCTTAGGAAGCTAGTATTGAGAGCTACTGAAATGTCTTGTGTTGTAATTTCACCATATTTAAACTTTATTTGTTTTGATCACTATGCACTTCTCAGTCACAACCTCTTGTCTGATTTAGATCTGGTATAGTAAAATAAATACAAACAGAAAACAATACTGGTATCCTTTGCATGGTTTGTTTTTATTTTTCATACTTTATTCATTATCCCTGCCTCGCTTTACTTTTATTGTTGCTTGTTTAAAATGCATTGTGCTATAAACACAACAACTTTGCATAATATCTTGTTGGCAGAACTGTAGTGGTGATGAAGTTAGAAATGTAAAACAGGGCACAACATTGTCTTTGGTTTGAGATGAAAGTTCAGCATCAAAGAGAATGCATGTGTGTGTGTGTTCTAAATAGTGAGACTGGAGGTGCAATACACAGAAATGATGTCAAATACTTTGGCATCGTATACCCCCTCCCTATGTTTACTTATGCAGCACCATTGTTGCTAGATGGATGCTCAAGCGTTCATACAATATTCATATTGTTCTTGTTTTACAGGTTACAGCAATGAAGATGTCAGCACTTCTGTCCAGTTTGACTGCATTGATGCATTGGAATAGGAAATTTTTAATCATACGCAAATGTTCATAAATGAATAAATCTTTGAACCAATTTTTGATGTCGTTTTCTCATAAGGTAGACTGACATCGGAAGAAAGTGTCTGGGGGATACATGTCTTCCCTAAACAAGGCCCCCTTAACAGAAACTATCACTCTAGTCACTTGTAGGAACAAAAGCTGCCTTGCCAGACGATCTTTCTACCAGGCTTCTTGATTGATTTACAACTCAATGGGGTATCAGGGAAGACTGGTTCTCTCAGAGAAGTCCAGTAGTCAGAAAATGTTAGTCTGTTTTCTGACATCTGTTACACTCTACCTCTCCAACATCTGCTTGGAGAAAAGCATCGACTCACAAGAAACTGGAAGTAACAATTCGAGACCTTTTATTGGACGAGAAGAGAATCTGTTACATCTCATGGTGGACTGATCTAACAATGATGCATGCTGCACTCATACACAAGTAACGGGCACTGATGGTGAGGACAATACAGGCCTACGACTTTTGTCACATGATTGCGTACAGTCTTCAGAAAATGTTCTAGCTCCTGTATAAGCAAGGAGATTTTGACGCTCGTTGCTATAATGTGGCCCAGTGTTCTAGCCAGTGCTGTCTTTCCGTCATTTGACTGGATTCTGTAGCTCGTGACGGACAAAAATTGTGTCCAATCCGTTCTCTTTGACAGACAAAAAACAGCATGTAAAGATATACATTTGTACATCAAACTAAGCTTAGTTTACCAGCATCTTAAAGGGGCAAGATTTGATTTGACATGATGTTATGTTAAACAAAATTGAAATGACAGAATAATTTCAGGCTGGCTGAAACACTGATGCAGCCTGAAGATCTGTACATCTGTGAGGGCACAAGTAGCTTGTCCAAGTGTTAATGCTGTTGGTTTTCACTCCATGGACAGTCAACTATAGACTAACACACCATATATGCTAGCAGAGTAGGAATGGTCCAATCTAATAATTGCATGGGATCCATCAAATTTACATTTATACATCTCTCTTCCATACAACTACTGTTATATGCTACCTCTCTAACACCTAAACTTTTAAATTTTTGTTAATAATTTCACATCTTGATGGTTAATATACTATAATCTTTTCCCCATTCACCACTCAGTGATGTTGTTAGCCCGTTTTGTGACATCTGGGTCTCAAGTCTTCTATGGAGTTGTCTTTAGACGGATTTGAGAGTCTTGTAGTGAGCAGGAGATCCTAAGTCAAGGTCATACAATAACATACAGAGGTCACAGTATCCAAGTAACTAACCACGATTTGACAGTTCTTCACAGAACACAATATTTCCCAGCTATGTATAAAATGATGTCCTCAGAATTGGATCCACATTGGAATAACTTGAGAAAACCCCTTCTTTACAAGAAAAAAATGTTCTTCCTAGTTCAGTTTTTCTTTTTTTTTTTCTTTACATCATTCCTCCCATGCCCCCCATACCGCCCATCCCCCCCATGCCTCCCATGCCACCAGGCATTGGTGGATCCTCCTTTGGAATTTCTGTGATGACGGATTCTGCCGTTGACAACAAAGACGCCACGCCCGCCGCATCGACTATGGCTGTCCTCACAACCTACGTTGACAAAACAGAAGAGTCAGTAACTTTGTACAACACAATAGATACAAAATTGCAAGTCTGGACACTTTTTTAAAAGCTTAACAGTCTCAACTACCATCCTCACTCACAGTAGACAATCACATAAGTTTACAACCATGTTTTGTCAAATGTCAAAATACATGTTTGTAAAACACAACCGAGGCACTTCACACAATGTATGGATGACACTGTACTTCACGATAAACAATTTGATTGGGAAAGGTAACTATCATTGTTTCAGATGATGCAAAGAAAACTAAGATCAAATTGAAAATGTCTCATTTTAGATAATCAATGAAAATTAGGTGCAATATTGCAGCTCCGTAGCTGTAGCTGAAAAAAAGTTGTTTCTGCAAATAGTTTCATCAGGTTAGTAGAACATAGAATATTGGGATTTTCTTTAACACATCCAGAGAGGTAAGCAAGGTAAAAGCCATTACTGGTTATTTTTTGGTGTCTGCTGCATACCTTTGTGGGGTCGATGATGCCAGCCTTTATCAAGTCTGTGTACTCTCCCTTCAGCGCGTCAAAGCCTTCGTCCGCAGACATCGCCTTGACCTTTTCCACGACCAGCATGCCCTCAATGCCTGCGTTCTTGGCTATCGTGAAGCAGGGCATCTGTAGGGCCTGTCTTACTATATCAACTCCTGTAAAAGGGGAAAATGATGATTGTTATTTCTTAATGCAATAGAGAGTGTGAGTTACAGATCAAAACTTCACCAGTAACAAGGAGGATTTAAACTGAATTACACATGACTTACTAAGGTAAAAGCTTAGAAGCTTTCAGATGGCATCCACCATCTTTCTTTAGTTACTAAAACTAAAATTTTGCTAGATATACTATAGTGACTTCATTGCAAAGAAACCAAAAGCACTGTAGTTTTAGGCACTGTGGAAACAATTTGTAAAACTGTACAAAATAAAAACAGCTCTCCAAACTGAGGATATAGATGTACATGTACCCTTGCATGTTTCCACTAAGCACATGAAGTCAACCTGGGCACTGGGACTTGCAATAAACTATTCCTAACAATAAGAGATCACACAAACTCATTTTGCCTGTTATACAAAGAGAAGAAAATTACCAGTTTTTTGGTCATTGTTTTCACACTTAATGCCATCCAGTGCAGGCAGACACCTCAGGAGAGCGGTACCACCACCAGGCACGATGCCCTCCTCTACCGCAGCTCTCGTCGCGCACAACGCATCGTTCACACGGTCTTTCTTCTCGTTAACCTCCACTTCACTAGAGCCACCAATCTGAATCACATTTGAGGGGAATGAGTGATTAACATTTTGCTACCATTTCTCTACAGGTTATGGCTTCAGGCAACAGGGAGACTTAATGATTTTTTCAAGCTTTTAATATAATGGATCCTATGAGGTATGAGCACTCTAGGGAACAAAGTTTATTTCTAAGTACTTATCTAAAGTTACTTTTGATATGGCAGTAGACATCAGATTTGGATTGGCTTGAGTAGACAAGCTTCTTCATTTATCGATAAGATGGGGAAAGAATAATGGGTTCATCATTTGTCTCTGCCACCTATACAAGATACACCTTACCCAATACAAAAATAGTGCTCGTATAACCTACAGATATATCTGCTGACTGAAGACTCAGCAACATTTTACTTTTTGTTTCAACAAAAATTGCACATTTTGTACAAATATCAAGAAGTACCAGGCTACAAAATGTAACAAACCAAGCAACTTCTTGCAAACAGTAACTTGGGAAACAGTACCTTCAAAACTGCGACACCATCTGACAGCTTGGCAAGTCTCTCGTTTAGTTTCTCTTTCTCGTACTCGGACGTCGTTCCTTCAAGTTCTTCCACGATCTGTGCCGCTCGTTTCTCGATGTCGGCCTTGTTGCCCTTGCCCTTGAGGAGCAGCGTGTCGTCCTTGGTGACCACGACCTCCCCAACTTGACCAAGGTCATGTGGTTGAAGGTCTTCTAGTTTGACTTCCATGGCTTCATCACCAAACACCTAGTGGTGACAGAATAGGAAAAGATTATTATTGTACTTGTGCATTTGTTTGCAGGCAGAAAACATGTTTCTGCTCTGTTTCTTCTTCTCCAAACGCATTAGGTCAATGACCTGGACCAGAAATATGTCACTATGGTAACTGGTGCTATAACAGACACCCTGTGGTGTTGGGTTACATTATGGCCCATTTTACACACAGGCAAAACCTTTGCGTACAAAACTTATGTACAAATGCGAGTGTTCGAAAGTTGCATGCAACAAAATGTTCTATTATGAATTTGCTTTGCAAATGAATTTGCTTTTCTAGTTTACTCTCAAGTATTACTACTTTTATCCGTAGTATGTGGGGAAGACATACATGAGCAAAATGTTGAAAGGTTTGTTTAAAGTTGCAGACTTAAATAGGCAGGATATCTCACCATAGCTCCTGTGGCAATGCCCATGTCCACCAGTTGGTTTTTCCTGTTGTCTCCGAAACCTGGAGCCTTCACTGCTACAATCTGCAGACCCACCTTTAACCTGCGAGAGGACGAAGAGTGTATAGTATCTTAAGATTTAAAACAAATGGATTTAGTGTAAAAATCAATCATACAATAACTCATATCATATAAACTGTTACATCTTGAAGTTAAGTCTATTGGTGTCTTTGCGTCTGTGCAGTGCTGCTATGGGTGAGTGTACCAGAAATAAAGAAATGGAAAGAAAAAAAGGTGAGCTTGAGGTCAGAAAGACTAATCATTGCCAACATGTTTGGTTTCTGGGGTTGAGTCTTTCATCATACCTCAAGGAACACCTTCAGAAAAATGTATTATCACATGCTCAGTAGTCTCTACCAAGAAAACTGTACTCCTATAGCAACTAACTTCCCTGTCATGTTATCTGAGTATTTGGCAAAAATTTCTCTTTTTACCAGCCACCTGGTAAAGCCTGGTAGAGACTAGAGATATCCTACAATTTCTATTAAGCTTAGCACTCAGCATCTATGAGAAATGAATATGGTAAGGTCAAACACACAACACTACCAGCGGGCTGGTCCCCGCTGTGTAAGTGCTTGCCCAACTGTATGGCCCATGGGCTACAGAAATGGAGATGGGCACCAGGCCTATGCTCCACATGGAGTGGAACAGAACTTTTTTTCAACAATGACTAGTATATCCTACCTGTTGAGTACTAGTGTGCTGAGTGCTTCTCCATCGATGTCCTCCGCGATGATAATGAGCGGTTTCCTCTGTTGGTTGGCGATCTCGAGCGCGGGAATGATGGACTGGACAGACGAGATCTTCTTCTGACTCAGCAGGACAAACGCATCCTGGTACTCCACCTTCTGGCCTGGAGGATCATGGGTAGGGTAAAGTGGAATCATGGGTAAAAATGCCAATGTCGTTCCTAGTAGGAATTTCAATCTCCTTTTATATGCAAAATTTATTCTATGTGAGATAATTTGTTCGGTGAATTTGCTTATCACATCAAGCAAACAATTAAATGTGAAATGTTTGAAGAGCAACAGAAGACATCAGATTTGGATTGGCTTGAGTAGACAAGCTTCTTCATTTATCGATAAGATGGGGAAAGAATAATGAGTTCATCATTTGCCTCTGTTGCTCTCAATGATAAAGTCATTGTTCTTGTGCATTGAATCTAAGCTGTTATATTGCAACATACCTTTCGCTGTGTTGATGAAGTAAGGAGAAATGTAGCCTCTGTCGAATTTCAGGCCCTCAATAATTTCAAGTTCATCAGATAGCGTCTTGCCGTCCTGGAAATTAGATGAAAGACATTTTAGACAATAGCATTTTTTTTTCAATTTTTCAAGAAAATAAAAGAATCCTAACAGTAACCTAACCCTTCAAGTAGAAGTATATCATGCATAAGGGGAGAAAGAATTGACGAAACTCAGAAGGCATCAGATTTGGATTGGCTTGAGTAGACAAGCTTCTTCAGTTATCGATAAGATGGGGAAAGAATAATGAGTTCATCATTTGCCTCTGTAATGCAAAGAAGACCTTATTTTTTAACAAATGAAAACAGTCACCTAAGCTACTTTTTAGTACACTGTTTTAACAGACATGTTGCTTGGTTGTCCTTCCTTTCTATGACCTTTACTGACCTTGACTGTGATGACGCCATTGCGTCCGACCTTCTTCATGGCGTTGGAGATGAGATCGCCGATGACCTTGTCCCCGTTGGCAGAGATGGTGGCCACCTGGGCGATCTCCTCCGGGGTGGTGACTGCTCGCGACATCTTCTTCAAGGAGTCCACAACAACATCTACTGCCATCATGACTCCCTGCCTGTGGAAATGTACACAAACTCGGTTCTAGTCGACTTTCCACATTCTCTTTAGGTGCAACAATCATTTTTGCCAAATCTCTCGTAAGGTTTTAAAAGCATCAAATGCAATTTTAGGGCAGAAAACAAACAAAAAAATAAATTCTGGATGCGGAAATCTGTCTGATATTGACGTACTGCAATTTCTTAGCATATTTTTGTCATCATTTCATCTTCAAATGGCCCAAAAACAAGCTACATGAGGAGTCGCTTTATGTTTGGCACCACCAATAAAAAGCCAGAACCAGCCTACGATACGAAACAAGCAAAATCTTTTCGTCAGAGACATCTATTGTTGCTCAGACTGTCCAGAAGACAAGCTATCTCTCCACCCCCTGCCAGTACCAGTGGGTTCTCCCTTTCGGGCTCTGGCACGAAACAGGGAGCTCATAGCGTGGACTTTCATCATCGCATGACAAACATCTATTAATCCCGTTCTTTGACAGACGGGAACTCCTTTTTTCAGAGAAATACTGCTATACATGACATGCATGAAGAAGTGACAAACGTTAAGCAAAGAGCAGTATTTTGTTTCTTGTACCTGACTTCAATGGGGTTCCCACCACGGCTGATCTTATCGAAGCCTTCCTTGGCGATCGTGCGAGCGAGAACGGTGGCCGTTGTCGTGCCATCTCCCGCCTCCTCATTTGTGTTGTTTGCGACATCCTACAGCAAAATCCAAAGCATGTATCCAGTGTAAGAAATGAGCTTCAAGAAACACTTATCTGCAATCTTAAGAATCACTGAGAATGAATTATACAACACGCTACTTACACTTGATCTTTTGTTGCAAATGTGCTTAATCTCTTACAACGTCTAAGCATTTTACCAAAGGAAAAGTAGAAAAAAGGCTGTTATTGTTGCTCAGACTGTCCAGAAGACAAGATATCTCTTTACCCCCTGCCAGCACCAGTGGGTTCTCCCTTGCGGGCTCTGGCACGAAACAGGGAGCTCATAGCGTGGACTTTCATCATCGCAACATGGCAGCCATTTTGTCCTTGAAACAGACTACACAAGGACACCAGTCTCATATCTTAACAAGAGGTGCTCTTGATTTCCGATGTTGTGATGCTGGCACCTACGCACCTGTACAAGTTTAGCTCCGACGTTGTGCCATTTGTCCTTCAGTTCTATCGCCTTGGCAACGGTCACGCCGTCCTTCGTGATCTTCGGGCTGCCCCAGCTCTGTTCAATGATGACGTTTCGACCCTGTAGGAAGAAATGTTCAAAGAAATAACTATAATATGTACTATAAAGACCTGTACATGTATTGGGGTGATGAATTTTTGTTTCCTTTTCTAGCTTGCAGATAGCTTATGCAAACTAAGAGGCATCAGATTTGGATTGGCTTGAGTAGACAAGCTTCTTCATTTATCGATAAGATGGGGAAAGAATAATGGGTTCATCATCTGCCTCTGTTGCATGGAGCTATATCATAACTTTCTCTGACTCTTGAGTATGGTTAGCCCATTCAGTCAATCATTTAAATCAATGTGATGCTGCAATTGCTGTTATGGTTTACATAAGCCAAGAATGCCCCACACTGACTTCTAGTGCAATCTTCCATCTGCTTGCATCACCCAAATTTACATAAATCTTGTCAATAAATTCCCCAAAGTACTGAAGGGTAATTTAAGCCATGACCACAGTATATGGTATAAAAAAGGGGTGGGGGGGTGTATAAAAGTTTTGGACTTTCATGCTATACATGGGCGTCAGCTGGCTTGTACAACCGTATGAGGTAGCTATGACCAAATTAGGACTTTGTAATGACCACATGGGATGAGATACACATAAGGGAGAATTCTGTTACAGATATTACATCATCATCATCTTGATGCGAGAGTTTCACGGATGATATTATGATATTACATAAGTTGCAACTTAACTTGAAACAATATATATATATATACTTTTACTACAGTAATTTGTTGAACACTTCCAGGCTTCTAGCTAGGGTCAAAACTAGGGTCTTCAATAACTGAACAACCACTTTGATTTCAGCTTTAATGCTTGAACAACCACTATGATTGACAGCTGCCAATCAACCACAGATGATTGACAGGTGCCGCTCAGTGCCCACCTTAGGCCCCAGCGTCACAGCCACAGCATCTGCCAGCTGGTCCACACCCTGGATCATCAGCGCCCGGGCGTCAGCGCCGAACTTGATGTCCTTGGCGTACCCTCGTCTGGCGACCGGCGCGAGCAGCCGAGACGCGGGCCGCAGCTGCCGAACCAACCCGGGGAGTCGGTACATCTTCAACTAGAGGCTGGGACGACAAGAGGGAAAGATAATTGAAACATGTGAGAAAAGATAAAAGGACAAATGCAAAATTGAGATCTGGAACTGCATGTCATTGTTAATTTAGGGCAAAGGGTTGTTCTTTGAAATCTATCACCTTGTGAAAAAAAAAAAAAAAACCTAAAAAAATTATTGTGACTTGGAAATTTTGAAACTTTCTGGATTTAGAATCAAATATTGCCGTGGATAAAAAAAGGTTGAATAATTATGCATAAGATTTATTTCTGTGAAGATTACGCAAGAGGGAATGATGCAACAGAACTGGTCTGAACCGGTTACTAGTAGCTTTCACTAAAGGACTTTCTATCCTAGACCAACAACTTGATCAAGTCTTCAAAATTGCCATGTTAACAAAATCATAGATCAACACCTCACGTTTAGCCGGTCGATACATACGACACCCACGTTGTCCCCTGCGCCCCCCTCCCCACATCAACCGGCAAAGTCAAACTCGGCTCAAAGAAAACGTGCACGAAAGCCTCTCTCAATTTCAAAAGAGCTTACACGTGCAAACGTATAAACATATGGATCTTAAGTAGTTGTTATTACTGAAAGTATGTAAAAATACATGCGTTACATGTTACGGCATCGGATTTAAATCACACCAGATCGTGCACGCACGTGGTCACCCCTAACCCTCCTCTTTTCTAGAAACTTCGTCCGCAACGCTGCTCTTTTTCAACCTCAAAAAACTCCCCTCCATATATTTTCTGCAGGATTTTGCAGCGCGTGCAAGATCTAGATGTTCTTCGGGACTTACTGTGTAAAAATGAAGGTTGAGGGGCGGAGGAAAGGAGAGAAAACCGGGGTTAGGTTGCCGCACCTCGTGCCCTCAGGTCCCAAAGTGTGAATCGCGTCCACTTTGAAAGAGTGATCTACGCTCGGCGAGGTCATTCCTCCAACCAAATATGGTAATTAGCAGTGGCCCCAAACCGTGTATAACACATGTTTTAGGTAACTCATCATTACCTAACAATCGTTCTAAGTATTACCAAGTACACATTTTATGCAAATTATCAAATGGTATATTTCAGAAAAAATTTATTCGCATTTATCGTCTAAATACTGAGGAAATAGTTATCTAAATCTTATATAATATCTGTATGCTCGATACAGGGCAATTCTTCTGGAACCTACCGGCATTGTGCTTTACAGATCTGAATGGTAAACAGTGAAATAGATAAAGTACGTCATATTAAACTGACATTGCTGCTTTATATTCATGTATAAACCATAAAGGAAGAAACTGATTTATGGAAAATCATATTTCTGGGATGAAATATCATAAAAATCTCTTACTTCCGGTCTGATCGGTTCTCGTGCACTCCCGGAAGTGCCGGTGTGCGCATGTGTGGAGGGACCATGTGTGCATGTGTGATCAGTTTCTAGCATTTTCGTCCTTCAGGGTGAGGGTGACGCAAGGGAAAACCACTTTGCTTCAAAATGGTGAGATTTCTGCATTTTTATTGCCAACCATATGAGCAGTATTAGACAAAGCTGACAAGTAGATTGAGATATATTTGATCTATGTTGCAATTCAAGTAGAAAACGCCTGCATTGTAGCGTATTTTGGCTTGTCACATGGGTGAATAGCTAGCACGTGGGAGGGGGGTTTAATCTCTAAGATTTACTAGAAGGCCTGTCTTCATGATGTTGCATCTCAAGTCAACGATCCCGGCTAACATCTAATTTGACGTTGAGTGTATTTTGTTATGATCAGAGGATGACTAGCAGTATAAACGTATGGCATGACAGAACCCCATGGCCCCCTATGTTGCAACTTAATTTTATGTGCAAGAAAATTTAATTACTAGTACTAGTATAATATTAATAAGCTGCTTGCTGAAGACCTGTAACTTACAACAGCATGATTTATATGCTGAGAGAAGAGAAGAGAGGGGAGAGAAGTCTGTACTCCTGCAAGTATTCTACCTCAGTACCTTTAACCTTACACAGGTCATAGGTCATCTGATCATGACATATAATATTTTATCAAGGTTGATATTTTGTGGGACTGTCTGCTGTATTGGGACCTTACATTGAATGCTTACGACGAGTACCCATTGAAACTATAATTGAACAGTATGAAACAAAGGATAGAAACTTGAAAGTGAGTGATGTGGTCAAGTGTGTCAATGTCTAATGCAGCTGTTGTGCACCTCCTTTCTTGGAGAGCATCTCAGTAACTACCATCTTGGGAGTAAGAACCTAGTGGGTTCCCACAGGATCATTCCTGTAGGCCTTAGCCACACCCCCTTCCCATCACCAGGGTTGGACAAGTAAAAGTACTGTTGGGGCAAGTGGATGTGCAATAAAGTTCATTTGTCATTGTCATGATGTAAGGAAAAATTCTTCTGGAGTTTTAACAGAACGGAATGATCTTTGTTTTTGCACAGGCGAGAGCACTGAAGAGCTTCATTCCACTGTTTGACCGGGTCTTAGTGCAGAAATTTGCAGCCGAGACGACAACAAAAGGGGGCATCATGCTTCCCGAGAAGGCGGTCGGAAAAGTTCTGGATGCGACGGTGGTCGCTGTCGGACCTGGATCACGGAATTCTGTAAGTTTCATCCTCTAATGATCTGGTTGGTTGAGAAGTCAGTTATTCTGTATTTTTTTTCTAGTCTCCAACAGACTCCTTTGCAGGCTGAATAAAAGCAGACCTTTTAAGTTTTATGGCTGGCTAACTCCCTGGCCAATTATATCCCTTTTTAGGCCAATATCGACTATTTATTCAGCCTCAAAAGGAGTCTGATGGAGACTACATGTAAGTGTGTTGAAAGGAAGCTGAATTATGTATTCTCCTTTAGTAGTACAGTTACATTTGTGCACTGCAATAAGAGTAAGAGAGATTATCTTTAAGTTATTAGTTGCTGTTGACGATGGTCTAACCCTGAATCTTTCATTTTGACTTTATAGAAAGGTGACCTCGTGGCATGCAGTGTGAAACCAGGAGACAGAGTGCTGCTCCCAGAGTTTGGAGGCACCAAGCTCAAACTAGAAGACCAGGTAATAATACATAAGTATTATAACTATTACCAACATAGAATTAAGACCAGTGTTCTATCCAGTGTTCATTTTTCTGTCCTTTGCAGGAACTTATTACTCATGACAGACAGAAATTTTGCCCAATCCATCATCTTTGATGAACAAAAACCAGTGTGTAAAACTGTAAAGATATGGAAAAGTATATCATTTACTAAACTAGGCTTAGTCTTCTACCAGCAAAATTTGCCTCTCAAAATGTAGGATATAGCATTTCAGAGTATCAAGATATAAAAACATTCTCAAGTGAGCATGCCACACTTTGGATTGCTGCACTAAGTCAAACAAGATTGAGATGACTGGCTACAACACTGATGAAGACCAAACAACATTTGACTAGTTTTTTTTGTTGGCTTGTCTGTGTTACAACAATGTATGCACTGAACCAGGTCAATATAGAAAATGTCTTGCCATATTGTTGTACATTTTCTTCTTACTTTTGTTTTCCATAGACACTGTCAGTGCTCTGACCTTGCGACAGTTACTGACATTTGCATATGTCCTTGTCTTTTCAGGAGTATCATCTCTTCAGGGACGGAGACATTCTTGGCAAATTCTTAGAGTCCGACAAATAATGATAAGACATGATAAGGTCCCATCACTGTACAACTTTGTTCCATGTCAGAGAAGAGAATATGTGTAGGTGTATGAATGTGGTATACTACTAGTCTGGTATTGAGAAAAAAGAAATACATGTATGAACATTTGAAGACATATGCCAATATTGTCAAATTCTGAAAGAGTAGAAGACACCCACAAGGGAAGAGAAAATACCTGGAAGTACAACTCTTTGAACTGGTGTAAGAGTTTTGGTATATGTTGAAATAACCACCTTATGTAGGAAGCTTTTTGTTGATATTGTCTTCATTCTGTGCTAGGTGTAGCCTGGTAGAAAGGTACATTTAATCTGCACAACTACTAGTATGTAAGCTGGACTTTGTTTAACTTACAAGTTGGTCATAGTTTATTGACTAATCAGGATATGTTTTGTGATTCTCAATAAACAAGATATCATTCCTACACATTTTTTTCTTTCCTTGATCACTTAGCTAGCAAGCAACCCTTCAAGTGAAGTAGACATACAAAAGCAGTATATAGTAGAGTGGATTCTTTGCTCAAGCTACTAGTAACTGGCTAACCGGAGACGGTGAATCAGACGACAGTAAACAGATTCAAGAGTACTAGTAGTATTGAAGAATACATACGGAAGAAGATGACCATAGGAGCTACTAAGGGCTATCCGCCTTCTGGCTCCTGATTTGCAGAGACGAAGTCTCTACAATCCAGGTAAATTAATCTAGCACACCAAAGTTGTCCCTCAGTAAGACATCTGAAACAACATAGTTCCTGTGTAGAACTTTTATTCAGGCTGTACAGATCCCTCTTACTGAGGAATGACTGCAGTGTGCTAGTTATTAGCTTGAGGAATGAATCCACTCTAATAGAAATACAGAAGCAATTTGCCTTTTTCTGACAAAACGGCATACCTGGACATAATAAAATATATATAAACCTGATAAGTTTTGTGAAATTAACCAGATCAGGGATTATTAGGAGCCCCAGGCACAACCCCCATCTCTCCACTGGTTGCCAAAGTTAAATTTCTAAATTGGAAGATCACTTATTTAAGACCTTTAAATTTTAAGCTTAAAGGATTATTACTTAGCCAGGGAATATAATGATATACCAAATGCTATAAGGGCTATTCAGTATTGACGGAGAATAAGAAAAGTCCAAGTATTTTGAAAATTACTGAAATTTTTTACAACATATATATTTGCGACTAAGTTAAGAGAATTTTACAAGTGTACCCCATATATAAGCTAACATATCCAAGGAAGATTCATATACTCATTGTGTTCATCATTAAAACACCAATTTATTGAAAATTTACAACAATCATACAAGGCCTTCACAATATAAATACAAACATTTTTACAATTTCCATTTACAAAGAATGACAAACTTCACTCCATTTTTACAGTCTCCATTTACACAAGAATTACAAGCGTCACACCATTTTCAACCTTCCTTTCACATACAGGCATTTCTGTCAAGTTCAGTTTTCTTTGCTCTTGTCTGAGCGATGTGTGCTAACATGTTACTGCTGGTTATTCTGATGCAACTTATATATTATCTAGAGTAAAAACGTGATATTGCACATCTTACTAGGATTCAGTCAAGAATAAAACATTCATTTTTCCTCTCATCCATCAAAGGACATTCGTCAGAACGGTCATAGTCGATTCATCTAAAGCTATAAAAGTTCCGCTACTGAGTCGTTGCCAAGAAAACAACGCAAAATCCTTATCATTAAGCCACATCTTAAAAGTATCCGAAAAAGGTACACGCAAGAGAAGAAACGGAACCTTTACGCACTTTTTAAAGTGTGCTTAAAGAATAGATTTTGTGTAGTCAAATGTCAGGAGTCAAATGTCAGTATTTCGTGGGGAAAAATCCAGTTCAGTACTCCTGTGACTGAGAAGACGGTTGTTCTCCACCTTTGCGGGCGCCGGTCTTCTTGGGCAGGAGCTGGTTGTGGATGTTGGGCAGCACGCCGCCCTGAGCGATGGTCACTCCGGACATCAGCTGGTTCAACTCCTCGTCGTTTCTGACCGCTAGTTGGATATGGCGGGGGATAATCCTGGAACAACACAAGTTGAAGAACGATAGATTTAACAGAAAGATAATCTACAGATTATTCACCAGAAAGAGTGGAGGAAAGACGCATAAGAAAAAAGGTATTAATGCACAAGTCACTATTGAAAAGCAACTAGAGGAACGTTAACGAACGGTTGAACAGCACGTGCTAATCGGTGGCTGGAAGACTATTAGATTAACAAAATATTTTTAGACATTGACATTTTCCACATCCATTTCTAAAAAAAAATGACAGTACAGAGAACAGTGACTCATTCTTGACGTGTTTCAGAAGTATAGCCTCTGCTTGAAAGTAGTAGGCACGTGTTGCCAAAGACTTTCCAAGACAAGGAATTTCAGGACAAGTTTTGTCTTGTCTCAAGCTGACCTAGTGCTTGTTCTGGACCGTCGAGCTGGAATTTGCCCAGCCAAGATTCTATATGTACTTGTACTGATTGGAAACTTTTTACTTTACCTGCTCTTCTTGTTGTCCCTGGCCGCGTTACCGGACAGCTCCAGGACTTCGGCGGTCAGGTACTCCAGCACGGCCGCCAGGTACACGGGAGCGCCCGCTCCGATCCGCTCCGCGTACTTCCCCTTCGACAGGTATCTCTTGATGCGGCCGACTGGGAACTGGAGACCCGCCTTGGCTGACTTGGTCCGCTGGCTACCGGCGGCTTTAGCGCCCGCTGCTTTTCCCTTACCGCGTCCAGACATTGTCGTACTTGAAGATTACACCACGTGGACTAAGCAAAAAAAGACGAATCGACCTCCTAGACGGGACTCAAGAAATGCCTGTACAGGGCACTCTTTCTGATGTCTTATATAGCCCACACACAGGTGTATTTAGATTGCGGTATGCACAGGTGTTTATAGGTCTCCTACTGTCCACCTGTTAGCTGCAGGTTGATTGGTCGTTAAAGCCTAATTGTTTCACAGATCTTAATGTTTTCATCACAACCATTTAAGGTAATACATTGTACAGTGCAAATGCATTAGTGAGCAATATGTCAATCAATCAACTGCATGGACGCTGTGAAATACATAGTTGCGATTTGAAGTACATTGTACTAGTATACTTGAACGCAAGGATAGAAGAAGTAAACTGTAGAAATATATAATCGTTAACGTCTATACGTTTTATTCGCGTTGTCAAATTGTATTGGCATATGTATATTTCTCTATACCTGCAAGAGGGCGTTATTTTCGGTTACCTGCAAGATAGGGGTGGTAATGACATACCAATTGGGTACCCCTCTAGGGGGTAATGAAGAGTCGGCCATATTGGATCCGCCGAGCTGGGAGGAGATTTCCGGGTTCAGAGTCGCGCGAACTTTTCGACGATTTTCGTCCCTTCCCAGGAAAAATGCCAAGTTTCGAGACGATTTTATGAAGGAGTAAACTTTTCTCAGCGTCGGTATCGAGGTAAGTGGCAAACAAACGACTCTATTTACTCCTAAGGTACCTTTTTCTGTCGTGAAGTGCGGAAGATGGAATGTATGGGGGCGTAGAAAGATACAAACTTTATCAACTGTAAACTTTGCCCAACGTCATTTTCCTATTGTTCTTTTTCTCTCCACCACTCATGGGCTTGATGCACGCTATCACTGTTGGGCAGGTTCCATAGATAACTACATCGCCATGAGAGCGGCGCTATGGGACGGAAGTGAGTGGTACGGGATGGTATGAGATGTCGGTCCCGGAAAAGGGGGAGGGGGGCACCCTCGCCCGCGCCATTTTCTGGCAAAGTGGTAGATAGAAATATGATGTGCGTGCCATTGTCATATTCCTCCGGGACATCTGCCAGAATTCTTTCACTCCACAAGTGTTTTTGTGTGACGACGTTTGCGCGCTGTTTTGATCGTGTTGAGCTCTCACTTTATTGCACAATCACAAGGTTGCAAAGGGTCAAACATTTTGCACCTTTACCTTTGATGTCATGCATGTGGACAAACTAAACTTACATGTACTGCACCAAAAATATACTAGTATATATCAGTTCTGTGGCTTTTGACACAAGTGCCATGGCCTATGTGTAAGCCTAACATTTATCAGCCTTGACATTTAGAGTCTCAAGCACATTCGATGAATAAAAAAGAAATAGATTACTTGACTACTACTACTATACCTTGATACCTTATACAATAAATAAATAAATTCAAGAGTCTTATATAATGTGTTTAAATGTGCAGAATCTCTACCAAATTTGAAAGACAATACATCATCTGCTTTAGCACTATTCTGTGCTCTGTAATTATCAAATCTGTCACATCCTACTATTAAAATTTCCTACATTGATGTAAATATATGTGAAATAAGTTGACAAAAAAGAAGTAGAGTTGTGTCAAATTTTGCCTGGTCAGAGATGTGTATTTCTGAACTAGAAGTGATCACCTGCCAACAATGGGAGCCAAAAGAAAATGGCTTGCTCTTTTCCAGCTCACCGAACACATAACTACTTCCTGTTCACAACAGAACTTTACTAGGTAATCTGTGCAAAAATATTTCCTTCATGAATTTCATTGCATTCTTCAAAGAACAACACTAGTACTGTAAAAAACAATGTCGCATGTTGTCATTAAACTTAAAGCTCTGAATGTCTGATTTATGATAGTCCAAAGTTCACTAAATCATGGTCTCGATCGATTCCTACCTTTGTAGTTCAAGAATGGCAAACAATGGTCTAGCTGTAGTGCTTTTGTTTGTTTGGAACATCATGGTGGAACACAAAGCAGTGGTTCTCATTCTGTTTTCAGGACTAGCCCCAAGTTAGACTCGGAGAATTACTGAGTCCAACTAAGAGTGGTAAAATTTCCTTGGGGACATTTTGGCCCAGGAGCTGAGGTGCTAGTCTGTATACGAGTCCAGCCAACAGTCTGGCACCCAGGCTGTTTGCAGGGCTGTTCCATTATATAACATGTCGGGAGGAGTAGGTCTAAATCTGGGTTGAAAAAACCCTTCCTGTATTGAATTGTCGTGGACCCAACCATCCTTTAACTTACGAGTAGTCTAACTTCTCTAACTTAGTCTAAGTCTAATTGGCAAATTGGCTCAGCTGATATGCCCCCGTCCCTGAACTTTGAAATGTCACGATTCATAGATTGACCTTTACCAGTATCAAAAGTATCATTCTCAAAAGTATCATTCTTACCTTTTTGGTCTCTTTCCAACATTCATGTTCTATTTTCACAATTCAATGTTTGACCTTAGATTTAATTCTGTTTCTTGATAAATGTTTTAGGTCAAATTAGATGTGGTTGACTGAACTCTAATGGTTAGAAGTCAATGTTTGGAAAGGCTAAACATTCGAAACCTGTTTAACAAGTCAACAAATTGTAGTGAATTAGGAACAAGTTGTTAAAAAGTGGTACAATCATACACAAGAACTTGGAATAAAAATATTTGTCTTCCATGATTTGTGCATAAGGACCTGTGATTTGAGTTTGGCAAGACAAGGAAGTGTTTCTGCTTGAATGAACAAAATACAAATGTAAGAAGTGACTGCATTACCGGTATTTTAAACTGAAAGCACAGCCGAAATCTTCAGACACATTGTTTTGTACTTTTTCTCCTTGAATTCAACTAGCATCAAATAACTATAGGGCTGTGTACTGGTACTGTCTATATATGATAGTTAAAATTGCATTTCATACCTTATTTGTTGTACCCACAATCGGATTTACAAACTTAAGATGATATTATAAAGCCTCACTTCACAAACTAATATAGTTGTTGCTATCCTTCGTGGATATTAAAATCTCTTGTAAAGTTTTGTTACATTCTTAACAGTTGAGGGAAGCTTTTTTTATAGACACGATAGTCTAGAGTAAACCTTGGGCACGCAAGACCACAGGAACCTACCCTGTCTGATATGCTTATCATGGGAAACATATTGTGTTAAAATGGGTCCGGAAACCCTAAAGAAAAGTCCTCTCTCTTCTTTCCACTTCCCCTAAGTCCATTTTTCAACCTAAAGCTGGCAACTTGTCATAATTTGGCACGAAATGTGATGTTTGAAAGTAAAGGTTTGCAAGGATATATCAAAATGCATACTTGTAAGTTTTTAGATCTATTTAGTATATAAGTATTCTTTTTGTTTTAGCGTGTTACAAAATTGGGATTGGAGATATTGTGAATATGTGAATTAAGTTATTACCAAAAAAGTATGGGGGGATTTTTAAAATGAAAATGATACAAGCGGGGAAGCTTTGAAAATTGTTACGGAAGTATTTCATAGTAACTGTTAGGTAAACATACAAAGAAATGAATGTTGGTTGTTAACATAACTACGTATACAGAGTTCTGTTGAAGACTGTTCAAGTGCCCCCCTCCCCCTTCACATAGTGATGCACATACAAGAACACAGTACTACATGTAATCTTACTACTAGTATACTGCAATAAAAATTCAAACATTGAACTTGATGATATAAGGAGGATTAGAAATAGAGTGTAGTACTGTTGGCAAGTCCATGACAAGTACCCTAGTGTTTGTTGACTTTGTTCTGAAGTGTGTAGTCTGTCTGCCTCTACTTGCTTACAAGGTATGCATGGTATGTGTATATAGGGGTCGAATTAGCATCTTTCCTAGTAAGCTACGCATGTAAATGGGTTTTTAATCTGCACCACTCTGTAGATGCCATATACTAGTAGTATAGAATTCTAATTTACTAATGGAGGGTATATGGTAGAAGATTTGAACCTTTGGTAACATTAGGATGCAGGGCTTGAAATACAAGTACTGGGTGCACATATGCACCTTAGTGCAGGTAAAATTGGAGCTGTGCAGGTATTTCTGATGTCTACCTGCACTGGTCCATGCACTGGGTTGTTGTAAATTGTATATACATGTGTGGGTATATGTTGATTTTTATAAAGTATACAAAGGAATAATGCTAATGGTTTCTGAAAAGTTTTTAGTATGATCCATACTGCCTAAATTATGAGTGGTGCAGGTTATTTTCAATGTTACCTGCACCAGTGCACTGCAGGTATGCAGAAAAAGGCATTTTGACTTTCGAGCCCTGGTAACATGGGATTGGAAAGCAGTAGCATATGATTTATTATAAAGGCATTGAGTACATATTGTTTCTTACCTATTATTTTGAACAGTTGAGAATTTGATATCTACCTGTCCAATCTCTTACGACCTTCTGTTATAATGATTATGATCAAGAGAACACTTGACTATTGTTCTCAATACAACAATGCTGAAATTGTCACTGTTCTTTACATCTGACTTAAGAAAATAACAGCCAGAAGGCATTAGACTTTTTTTTTACATGAGGACATTTGATATGAGAGTATCTTGGTGGAAATGTGAGGCATCTAGCTGTCCATGTTCATGTAGACAAATTTCTGATGGAAGCAAATTTTCCAGTGAACTTGGAAAAGTTCCAAAATCTATAGCCAGAGTAAAATTGTAGTGTCAGGCCAATTAAAGAAATGGACATCGTATATATTTGCACATAAATATAATGCATCAATTTTTTTGGTCCATATGTTAGTCAATAGTCCATAGGTCAATAGTGACTAACATTCGTAAGAAAAGACATTTTTGTAGCTTACTTGATTTGGGTTGATGTAAATAGTCTTGGACTTACATGTAGGTATCCCAAATATTGTGCCAGACTAAATCTATGTGTAAGTGAATCATGTGGCAAGTTTGCTTGTATAACAGATATTCTAGATACTAGTAATTGATGGTAACTACGGGAAAGCATTTGGCACACGATATCTCGGGATAACACTTGCATGATAGTATACATTTGCATTCTAGACATTGCAATCATTAAGAATTATAATGTTATTGAA